TTTGAGATTCTGCAGACCTTCTCTCTGCAGAATCTCAAACTGTTGTAACTGCTTCACTAAGGTCAAGGCCTGTGCAATACCATGCAAATTCAAAAGCAGTCTTGAAGCTATAGTCACAATTCAACAGCGTGACTGCTAATGTCAGCTCCAGTTCCTCAAGAATGAACTGTGGTTTGTTGCCCCATATTAACAAGTACAATCACTTGATTTCTAGGATTTACCTAATCAAAATTAAGGGAGCTAGAATATCTGACTTGTCAAAATGATCATGAGGTTATAGAGGAAATGACAAAAATGCCAGACAAGTAAAATCCAGGAAATGAGCACAATTTAACCAGAACATAAGTTTAGCCTCTGAACATAATGTCTCATCTTTCTGATGCACTGATTTCTTTATTTTTTAGACTGAAATTCTCGAAGCAGGAAATGTCATATGAGGAAGTGCTGAACATCATGACGGTATTTAGCAAGTAATTCTTACCACCTCTCCTGCTAGTTCTTAGATTTGTGAAGAGAATTATTAGGAGTGACTTGCCCATTGTGACCCAAATGGAAATAAAAAAAAAAGCAATGAGCCATAGCTGTGTGACCTCAAGCCAAACACTTCAAACTCGTGGACCTAAATATAGACACCTAAATAAATGGCCTGATTTTCAGAAGCAGTGTGCAACTCTGAGAGTTCTAGGTGCTCTGAAAAATCAAGATGCTTATGTAGGCATGTAAATACAGACTGAGCTGCTGAATTTGTTATTTAATCTGCTTCAGAATGTAAATAATTAAGAAAACAAAGGTACTACAAATACTGTTTTTACATGTTATTTAGGAAGCCACAGAGTGTAATTAACTGTGAGAAACTAATAGCTAATAGCATGGAAATTACTGTTTATTAATTGTTGAGAAGTGGAATTCCCCTAGTTCTGGAGCACAGCTAGACAGCTTTGATGGAGAAGTCCATTGTACTAGATTTCTTTGCCTTTTTAGTAATCTTTATCCATAATTACAGAGATTGACATAGAAACGCATTTAAAAATGTCAGATTAAGGAGTTTTGTTTATATTGAGAGAACTTAAAAAATTATATGTTTCATCCTCTTAAAGTGTGATCCATGGTCTTAAGGCTTTTTGTATTTTCTTCCTGAAATCATCATTCCATTATTTTGACACTTCTAGGTGACTTTTGAAGGCATAACTGGAACATCACCGGAAGCAGAGGACCTGATCTAGTTGAAGATGGCCCTGCTCGTTGCAGGAGATTTGGACTAGATGATCTCTGTAGGTCTTTTCCAACCCAAATTATTTTATGATTCTATGATTGTGAATTATGGGTTATTGGTCAGCACATGACATCAGATGCACATTCAGTTAATAGAAAATAAGTAGCTCAAGCAGGTAAGTAACAACCGAGACTGTATTTTTGTGTCTGAATTATGCCTAGAAGTAAAAACTTACACACACAGCCTGTTTTGACACTTCTACTATGCCATGTTCTGTTTAGACACATTATGTTAGTGTATGCTTATATATAGTGTTATTTTTATGTATTATGGCATCAGTGATTGACAGTTGGCCCCTAGATGGTGCCAGTACCTACAAACTGCCAGCCCTTGCGCAAGGTGAACACTGGAGATGGCAAAATGGAAATGGTCTTTGTGACACAGATATTCTTAGGCAGTCATACTTTCCACGACACTGAGTCACTGCATCAGAACATCTCTGAAGAGAGTCCTTCTGCCACATCACCCAGAGGGAAGTCTCTACCCCTTCCTTCTGCTTTCTCAGCAGTGTGACAGAGCTCCAAAAGAGATAGCTAGTCCATCCAGTCATTATTCCCTACCTAAGCATCAATCTGCCAGTCATACCCTTTTAGTACTGCACTCCAACTTTAAGCTTTCCAGATATCGGGCAGCCTGGATATCTGAAAATCCTGAAGGAGAGAGTATACTGGGTTTACAGCTGAGCTGGGAAGGGGGAAAAGGGCATTAGTGAAATTCCCAGAGAGGATGGGAACAGTAAAGGGAAGTTTAAAAGGAGAGAAGAAATGGATCCTCTGGTCTAGATTCTGCTCTTGGGCTGCTCCAGGGCTGCTCCATGCCTCCTCTGGAGGAAGAGTGCTCTGCTGTGAGTTCATCATGTAAATCTGCAGAAAGGGCCTTGCTAGAGGTGTCCCATTCAGCAACCAGCCTGCCAGCACCAGGTTGTGAAGTACTCAGTCCAGAAGGTCAGACAGCCCCAGCTCAGACCTTTTGCCCAGCTCCCACCTTTGACCCCTGTACAAAGTTGCCAACACTGGCACATCTCCATGTGGAGGGATAAATGTATCTTGTCATGTGCAGATCAGTGCTGGCAGGTGTGGTAGCTCAGGATGCTTTAGCGATTGCAACTTTTGCTATGTTCTGTCACTTGCATTTGTCCTGTCTTGTGGGTATGTGGAGAACTCATTACCCAGTTTATTCCTACAGACCCATGTGCCTACATGCGCTGACCATTCATGTCCAAAAACCTCAACCAGACTGCAAGGCCAGAGTCTGTAAGAAAAATTTAGCAAAGCTGAATATGTTGATGAATACCCAAAGGACAGAATATAACCATCTCCTGCTGATTCAGGTCTTTCTGTTATTTTAAGAAACAACCAGATCATTGTGATGAGACTGGCTTTTAACAAAGTGGTTCTTCATTTCAGTTCATGGTAAGCAAAGACCAGTTGCCAGGTTTTCAAACAGTAAAATATTCTTTGGTTTACTTTTTCAGAAAAATGAAATTCAAACCTCGTGTTTAATGCCTGAAAACACCCCTGTAATGATCCTTTTTTATCTGTGTATTATTCCAGTTGTATAAGCAAACTTAAAATAGTAAATGATAATACCATGATTTGGGCAGTACCTTGAGCTATAATGAATTACTTAAGGAGTAATTAGAATTAAAGTAGAACTCTTTAAGTATCTTGCACTGCTCATCTATTCATTTTTAACCTGGGAATCACACTTGGGCAGGCATGTCACGATACTGAAAAGCACTTGTTTTTCTTTCAGTATCAAGCAAACAGAAGGACACACAATGCTTTTCTGAGCAATGATGGTTTTCAGAATAAAGGCCAGATAAAAGGCCAATGCCTTGAAATTGCCTCTGGATGTGTGTCAGCAGTAACAAAGACCAACACTATGAACCCACTGAAACTTTTGTGTTTAATCTGGAAGAGTCAAGTCTAGCTATAATTGAGACCTTTGACATGAGGAAAAGTGACAGAACTCTGTCTTCAGCCTGGAGCACACTTTACCAGTGCAACACATCACAGCTAGAGGAGTCTGGAAATTCCATTTCCTGATCTGCATTTTCAGAATGAGGCAAAAATCTCATTTCAGGTGGGAATCTGCTCGTTTTCTCTTCAGTCCACTGCAGAAAGGTAGAGCAAGCTCCAAATGCCCATCCGTAGTCAACTTTGGTATGCTAAGCTGGTGCTCAAGTCACTTCTGAGCCGGAATTCCCTTCCTTAAGCTAACCAGATCAACTCCAAGGCTTCACAGGCTTAGCAACATTTTCATCAACTTTCTGATGCAGCTCTGATGTGTCTCAAATTTATCAGCAGCCTTTTGGAGTCACAGCCAGGGTGGTTACAGTGCTATCAGTGTGAGATGTAGTTCCTCCTCTCCAGCATGGAAGTTCTCGTTTTCTCATCCAAAATCCATGTTATCGCCTTCAGGCATAGTATCCCACTGGAGCTTGCGCCCGATTATTTGCTTATTTGCCATGACTCCTTCCTCACTTGTCCTTTTCAAAGCTTCAAAGATTGAACAGCAGTAGTTGCACTGTACCTGGACATTAAAGCTCTTTTTATGCTTGTTGCTCCAGTACTCTGCTTGGTACTTGGGAAAGCTGATGTATGAAGTTTCTAACGCAGTAAAAGCAGCACGTGAGTGAAAAAGCCTGGTAGACCTTTGGAAATTTAGAGTATAGATGTAGTTTCTATCTCACAGGTAGCTGCTAGCAACCTTCTAGGTAACACTCCTCCAGAGTGGTTGCTCTATGAAAAGATGTATTTTTACTCAATAGGAAACTTGTCCATAGTGTTTAAATTCCAAGCTTTGCATTAAAACTAAAATATTTCTGAATTTCAGCATCCTAAAAAGAGTGAACTAAAAGATTTAAAATATTTCTTCTGAATATTTTGACCGTAACTCTACAATGTCATTTACTAGTAACATAAATATGACAGTTCCAATTCAGGACAGCACATAGCTTATGCAGAGTCTTACAGACATACCTTACCATCCGTAAGCAGGCTTGAGTGCTCTGATGAATATGAGCAATATTTACAGCTTTTAATCCATATGGACTTTACAGCAGTGGGTAATTCTCATTGTCACCCCAATGCCTAGATGGGGAAATCGAGTCACTGAGGGATGAAGTGATTCGCTCAAAAAGCACAGTGAGTCAATAGGAGAGCTGGGAATAGAGTGCAGAATTCCCTGTGTTATCCATTGGAGTCCTTAGATAATATCATTTTATAAATGCTCTATCTTTGTAAAGACTTCAGTGCTAAAATTATCTTCCCAGGACTCTCATGGAAACAAGATATTTATAACTCCATTAAGCCTTTCCTAGTAATTTTATGATCAAAGTGAAAAAAAAAAGTAATGCTGTGCCAATCAGTCACATGTCCAATGTCATTCTGAATGGCTGCCATGATGAAAGCTTCTCCTTGGTTGTCTCCATTAAACACTTGCTGTCTTTTGAATGCCTTTCTTGTGTCTAATTCCTCTTCCACTGCATACCATGGAGGGGAAATATTTTTTGCCATGTGATGAGCCACACATTTAGAATGTACCATATAACTGGGAAAGATGCTTGCTGCCAGTAGAGCCTAGTGGTTTATGCTGTAAATGTGACTTTGTTGTTTGCCAGTTTCACCTAAAATGAGCAAAGCTACCTCAGTATTTCCACTTTCAAAATTACAGCACAGATGCCAAGACCAACTATAAACAGCAGGTTAGTGACTGAGGCATTTGGACCCTGGTTCAGCAAAGCACTCAAGCTTGTGCTTAAACTGAAATCCAGTCTCATTCTGCAAATCCATTGGAAGTGTTTGCTTAAAGCCAAACACATGCTTAAGTCAAGTTTTGTTTGGCACAGCCTTAGGCACAGCACAGAGCTAGGGCCTTAGAATTAATTTCTTTTTGAAAGGAAGTCATTATTTTTAGCTCACCTCTCACTGGCTACAGCCATATCTTTTAGTCCCCAGATATCTATTTTCAGGAGGTATACGTGCTAAGCCTAAACTTCTGGTTTCTGTGACAATCAGTGGCACAGAAAAGATATCGAATACCGTTACTGGTGTAAAGAAAGAGACCACTTGAAATACTTGACTGCTAAGTACAGATGAGAGGGGCCTTCAGTGAGGCTCATTAGAGGGGAGACATAAAAGAAGTTGTGATTATTCTGGGAGGTGGCTGCTGATAGCAGGGGTGATCTTTTCACTGTGCTGACTGAAAAAGATTCACTTGGTCAACAATTTTAACTCAAAATGTTTACATGAGTTTTCTGTCAAAAATTTCCACAGTAAATTTATGATTTCAGGGAAGATGTTTATGTTCTCCTCAAAGGTATCAAAAAAAGGTTTGGCAGCAATGTGATAGTTTGTGTTGTTTTATCCTGAAACTCTTTCTTAATATATAATAAAATTATTAAAGGAAATTTGATTTCAAAGAGTTTTATAGCTCACTTCTAGCTTTAGATTTCTTCTCTTGTTAAGCAGACTCCCGCTGTTCGTTTTTCTGGCTTAAACATGGGAGTTACTTATCCCAACATAAATGGTGACCACCATACAGTCCTGGCCAGCTCAACCGCACGTTTTGCTCAGGTAGGTCTGGCCTATGGCACATCTGGAGGAGGAGCAATTGCATTTTCGAAGATGTTTTTCTGAGGGATGCCCTGATGTATTCCCTTTAACTTCCACACTTCCTACAGAAGGTAGAAATACAAGGATAGGTCAAAATAAATGATTTTATTTCTTTCTGTGGGCTTAAAAATCTCCTGCTTCATACGCCCTTGTGGTAGTGGAATGAATAAAACCTCATTCTGACTCCTTCTGCTGAGCTGTAGAAAAGCTTTCTAACAGTGGGGAGAGTTGGGTAAGAGGACAAATTCCCAGGGAAATTCAGCACTGTTGTATTTGAAAGCAGACTGCACAAACACTTCATAAGAATAATTTAGATACTGTTAATCCACTCCTGAGCAGGGTTTCATGATGACCTTTTAATACCCATTTAACCCTGTCCCAGTGGGAAAGTCTTCCCCTTCCCCAGAAGCTTCTGAATTCCCAAGTAGAAGACCCCATTTAGATCTATCACTTGGCCACCACATTGCTTTACTAATCCACCTCTCTTCTTTTTTTCTATGTAGGAAAGTATGGTGAGTGCATGGAGCTGTCATCCCTTACGTGACAGCCACATAGTGATGGGATCCCTGAGTCAAGCCCACTTTTCTTCACTTGCTTGCTTGGTATCTCTCTGGCTGTCAAGAACAGGTACTTCTTTCCTGCCAAAAGCCCACACTTCAATGAAAATATGTCCTGCCTTTCAGGACAAATATTCTCATGATTATTCTAGACTGGCAGGGAGTTGCTAAATCCAGTGGCCCAACAGAGGAGAGGCTTTTCCTTTTCTGCTCCTCTGCGTATGGTGGGGGGGAACACAGTTGTTATCACACACTCCAACACTATTCTTGTGAGATGTGGAAGGAAGAAGGAGGTACTTCTCAGCAGAAACAAGATCACACCAGGTCTGAAAAATCCAGCAATATGCCAAAGCTACACCAGACGTGTGACTGTATTTAGGACAGGTTAGAACCCATGTGCAGTGGGGTGTCAGTAAATCTTCAGTAATGCCTTCAGATGCCTTTAATTCATTGTAAACACACTGATGTTGACCTTTAGGTTATACTTTCCTTTAGGGACCTGTTACTTTAAAGTCAAGCTTGCCATTGCAGAATTTTGGTTTTTTGAGTTATACATCATTGTTGTATCCATAACTGCAGAAAGCCAATTGTGTAATCAATTATACAATGTGTTATTTTCCTATGGACGTTCTTCCCATAGTTTTACTGCTGCTGAAAGCCCATTTGTGTTTTGTTTTGTTTCGGTGTGGTTTGGTTTGCTTTTCTTTTTTTTTTGCAAATACTTCTAAAATTATGAATAATCTTTACTTAAAAGACTAAAATTACATGCTAACTATTATCATGTATGAAACCTGACAGCAGTTAAAGTGTTGGTATCTGAACTTACTTGACAGTTTCTTTGAACAACTTTTACTAGGTATTCTTCATAGGTTTAAATTTTTTTGATTTGTGCACTATTTTCTGTAAGTAAGTCATGCTAAAGTGAAAGCAAAAATGTTCCAGATATTAGACAACATTATAATGAATAGCAATAGTTTTTCTTGCAATCACTTTTCATTAGAAACCAAATATCAAAATTCAGCTTTTATTCATATTCATGCAAGGACTGATTCTGAATCCTGTGGAGCAACTAAAGCTCTGTAGAAATTCTAGGTGCTCCAGTGGAAGAAGTCCCCAGTGTTTCCTCTGCTTGCAATTTTTCCATTACAAATGCATTTTATCTGCACCGACTGCAGACAGAGCAGGCCATGCAGATTTCCAAACACAGCAGCTTTTTGTCCTGAATGCCCGGTCAGTGAATTTAGTTTATACACAGCTTTGGACCATCTGTGAATAATTGGCCCAAAAGTTATGAATGCAGCAAGAGAGCTTGAATTTTAAATACTAGGAGGTAGGCAACCAGGTGAGGAGCACAGCTACAACTATACTGCTATGGCACACCACATTTAAAGTTGAAATTAAGAACTGTTAAGGTAGAGAACCTATCTGAAGATGTAGGACAGGGAAGCAGCTCAGTAGCTTTCATTCCCGGCATTTATACTGGACCCGGAATGGTGCCATGGGTTGCTGCGTCCCCACCAAATGTAAGGGGCTCTGCAAAAAGAAGAAAATGGGTAAAAAAAAATTTAAGTTAGTTCAGTTAATGGAATTATCATTGTGTTTTAATGCTAAGATATAAACGTATTCTTTGGTCTGAAGAGGATGAAGACCAAATATTTCTTGGCTTTGCTGAAGCTACTGTGTAGGGCCTTCATGATGACTTTTTATTCCACTTATTCTGATAGAGGATGACACATGAGATCTTAAGAAACTCTTAATGATTTTGAGTATCTTCACCAGCATAATTGCCAATTTACAGTGAACTCCATTGGGAGCTGGCATGGCAACACCATCGTCAGAAAGAGGCAACCTTCCTCATATTCTGGGTGGATTCACCACCACTGCTTGAGATCACAATCTTCAAGGAGAACAGAGGACTGAAGTTCTCTGAGCTGCCAACTTCCAGCCTAAAGGGGCAATCCTACAAAGCCCATGCCAGTCTAAAATTCTCCCTCTTCTCCTTGGCAGTTTAGCCAAGTAGTGTCCTTTTAGGTTGTGACAGGCAGACATGCTCATTTAGCAGCAGTCCCTGTTTGTGAGGAACTATGAATTTTAGAAAGTGCAAAGGACACAGTGCAGATGAGAAGGAAATGACTGCTGAGGGTGGAGACTGCACCATTCTCCTTCAGTGGTAAAATCTATCTATTTCACATCTTGTCTTAGTGTAATCCATTTATTCTCCCACCACTGAATATGTAGTGGAAGAGCACTATGAGGGCTGCATCTGATTTCATATCTTTAAAGTATTAATAATCCAGATGCTAACTGGTTTTGTGAGTGGCAGAGAGCAGTTATAAAATCTCTTGTAATGTTTGGGCAATGATGAGACAAAATACTCTTGTAGATGCTTTTTTTGTATAGGCAGTGCAGCCCCACAGCATTGCTGGAGCTGCTCTGGATTTTCTGAATTACAGCAAAGATTGAGTTATTTGTTATGTGTTTTATTAACACTCCCCTCAAAATTCTCCTTCATTATACATAACCACAGCTGAGCACGGCTGTTCAGCTGAGCATAATGAAGGAGGAATATAAAGATGTGGAATGCATAGAAAAGCACGGGCCTTTTACCTCCTTTGGTACTGCATCCAAAAGCACAAATTCATATCTGTATAGGAACAGCACAATGAACAGCTGGATTTCCATGATGGCAAACCACCTGTAAAAAAAGGGAGGAGAATGTTGACCATTCAGCCTGACCATCTCAAGTGTGTTATCATCAGATAAGAAACAGGGTGTCTTTGGCACGTTACATTCCATTATTTAGTTCTGCCTGGAAGTTTATCTTCAGTTGGAAAATGTGCTGTAGCTTTGTTCGGCTCCATTACTCAGCAAAGAACATGGATGTCATGGCTACCCCTTCTTTCTGGTGAAACGTTAGACTGACAGCATCCCCCTGACACCCTATTTTAAAACAGACCCTTATCATGATGCGTATTTTTTCCACTGTAAAAAAACACTAATGTTCTAGCACTCACTGACTTGAAATAACTTCATAGGAGCGAGAAGACAGTCAATCATGGACAAGACTATATGACTAATGGTGCTATATAAAGTTATATATACAGCTGGGAGCCTGATGACATCAGAGTAGCTGTGACAGTGGGAGTTACTATTTAATGCATCACCATCAGAATGCAGCATGAGACACAAGGGTGTGATTTTTGCTTCTGCAACACTCTCAGAAAGGCCCTTTTCACTCAATCCAGGGAAGATTTCAGGTAACTGCAGTGAACTCCTTCAGGCTATTATTTTTTAAAGCTGACATGTACAAGAGCTTTCAGCATTCAGGCGCTAGGATGCACCTGTGCCACATCATGGGATTACTCACTTGCAGAATTTAGACTGAAGTCTAAAATACCTAGTGAAAATGAGAATACTCCCTTGCTGTTCCACACAGTTTATTTTCCATCATCTGAGAGACGCTGGAAAACTTGAACAGCTATTGGGGAACTCACCAGGGAAAAGACCACATGACTGCACATGGCGTCAGCCTGGATTTGGCCTGGCAGGTGTGAAGAGGAAGCTAATAAGCCCCACGAGACACAAGCTGACTTCTGCAGAGCCATCCAGATCTGTGCGCTGAACCACCCCCTGCTCCAGAGTGGGAGGATCTGTGCTTGTTCTGGCATGGCTTCATAACTCAAATTATCTCTGTGATTTCACTTTGGAATTACCTTGAGATAGGGAGCTTTTGCTGACCTTGAGCTTGGGGGAACACAGTGCAGGGATATTTCAATGGAAATTAGCTTGGGTCAGGCAGGAATTCCTAGCCCAAACTCTGTGCCAGCAGCACTGAGCAAAGGTGGGCTTCCTACCATCACTGCACCACTGGCACAACACAGCCCTGGAGCCCTGGTGCTTGATGTCCTGCCTCTGAGCCATTCTCTCTGTTTTGGCACAGATGTACCATGATGCAACCAAATGCCCAAATGTCTCTAGGTTGCTCTGCAAGTGGAAGTGCCTCATTTACAGAGGGCTGTCCTTCAAACCCAAGCACAGCTGGATGTGGGCTGACCAGCTCCGACACCTCTGTACCCACAGTGGGGGTCATCTGCAATGGGTATAACCAATAACTGGCTGCAGCACTTCCCACCACTACAGCTCCAAGTGCTTTTCCCAACAGGCTGCTGCTGTTATTCTGCTCGGCACACACCAATGCTGAGACACAAGGGTGATAAGCAACATGCATGTCTGAGGGTGGCCTGAGGGACAGCCCAGGAGTGAAAGGCAGGACTGCAGAGTCCCTGTGCATCCTTCTGTCCCACAACACATCATACTGAGCAGCTAAATGCCCCCTACTTCCCACCCATCTTACATATTCTTGACTGAGTCTTAGACCAGTTTTCCTGTAAAAACTCTGAGTTGCTGATGCATTCCCATTTTATTTAGTGACAAGGGGGCTGGACAGATGTGTGCTTTCTGAAATAAGACCCCAATGCACTGCTACATATTTGTGTTGTGCTGGAACACTGGCACCCAGCTGTGGATTGAGGTCCTACAGTAAATGGAGTCTGAGAATGAAATCACAGCCATTGTGCTGAAGGATTTACAATGTCAGCATAAGATAGGAGACATCAGATGGAGCCATGCAAGATAAGCACAGTTGCACAGATAGTAGTCACCTGGTTAGACAAAAGTAGCTTCACTGCCATCAAATTTTCCTTTAGGTAAAAAAGATAGCACAGAAATGGCTTTGTGGGAGCTCTTCCCACATCAGTTTTCCAGAAATTTGCCAAGAAAGTTATTTTCTAGCTTTCAGTTTGATTAAATTAGCTTTAATTTTATGATGAACATCTGCAATGGAGAAATTAAATGTTTAATACATTTCATTTATAAATCCCAGTATGAATTAAATGGAATTAAATGAAAATGCATCTTAAACTTGAAATATCATTGTTTCATTCAGCCGTACCAAGGAAATCTGCAACCTGGGATCTGGAAACATCTCTTGATGTAATGTTAGAATGATGCTGAAAAGCATGAAGGTGTGTCTTATGATGTGGGCTGCCACAGGGTTTGAAAGGACTTTTTTGCGTGTCAGCAAGAAAAAGATTCTCCATCCAATGTCTATGCAGAAATGTTACAATTTTATTTCTAACCACGAATGTATTTTAAAGATACTATCAGAGTACAGAGAAGAGCCTGAACAAAGAAATATGTCAGTATATATAAACAAGCAGCTTTCACAAACATCATTTTGCAGCTTGTCCTGGACTGGTGGATGCCTCTTGTGAATCGTGCTGCCGTCCTTGCTGGGAATGAGCCTGTGCTCATATTTAGCTCAGGAACATGGTACAAGTCACGGAGGTGAGTGAGCACTTTGGCAGGCCTAAACCATGAGTGCAGTTTTGTTCATATTGTTTATGTCTTTAATGACCTCACAAAGTTTGTCTGGCACTCATGTCCAGCCTGCTGTAGGGTGCAGATTCAAGATTGCAGATCCTCTGCAACACCTTCCAGATTCCTTGCTCCACATGGGAGTTAAATTGACTAGCTCTAGGGATATGTGGTTACTTGCTTCATTGAGAAGACCAGGTTTTGAAAGCAGAAGATTGAGCATAGAGATGTTTGAATACAGAATTGAGGAGCAGCTGGCTCCCTGGGACTTGTTCCAGGAAGAGGGACAGCAGAGAAAAGAGCAGAAGGAATGCAGGAAGCATCGAGGCAAGCATTGCTGGAGGAGTGAAGAGAGACAAGATCTGCAATTTAAGCCATCAGACAATTGCGTGGGCTTTAATGCAAAGACAAGATTCAAACAGAGGGGAGCCATTTAAGATATTAAGATATTCGTAAAGATGTCAGTGGCCTCATAGAGGATAGAGAGTCTCAGAAATGTTCTTTAGATTAGTTTAGAACTTTTTAATGGCAACCTAAATGCCCATGTCGCTAAACTGGCACGTTGGTAAGTGGAAAAACTCTCCCATAATGAAAAGATGCCTCAGCAGCAGCAGAGCTAAGCTGACCTTCCTCCCTGGAGAATATCCCTTGATACACTAGTCTCAGATTCTTTTATATTGTGACTTAACCTGTATTTTCCAGGAATGAAACCACTTTCAAATCAGTTTAAACAAGGTCCAGATAATACTGAACACTAACGGACTGACAAAGAGCAAGGCAATGAAAACACTTTATCTCCAAGTGTAAGAGGAGCCCAGTTGAAGAGAGTTGTTCTCTGCAGGGTTTGGGAATAAATAAACCCCAGCTGTTTCACTGACCTTCCTGGACACTGATGCTTCCCTCCTCCGAATGCCACAAAGCTGTCCAAGAAAGCATTCTTCTCTAAATTTGCCTCTTTCCAACGATCCTGTGGGAAGAAACTTTTTTTTCCAAATCAGCCTTATATAAATAAAGCTTAACTTTACTTCTCCAGGCTAAAAATGACCTTGGACAGCTAATCCTCAATACGAAGTTGCACTAATGCCATTTTTTGGGTTTGCAATTCAACCTGTTAAAGTCTGGACTCAAAAGTCAGCACCAGCTCAGGAAAAGAAATAATCATACTCAGGTGCCTCAAAGCGCTGCAGAGTTTTTCAAGCTTACGCCTAACACATACTTCTTACACCTCCCCATTTTTCTAAATCCTGTGTCTTGAGCTATTGAAATGTGTATAAAAATGTAAAAGCATAACTTTCTCCTTTTAAGTATATGCACATTCAAAGCAATTGCTCAACCAGTACCTTCCCTCAGCCACAAAATTGTATCATGGCACACAAATGGCTCATGCACATCTTGCACACAAACCACTTCCAAGACACTGTGAACAGACAAATGCAGCTGTAACACAAGAGAAGGGCAAGGATTGCACAGCTCCATTCTCAGGTGTGAGCCAGTGTATGTGAGAAAATGGACCATTCCCAACAAAAACAGTCTGTCTGTTCCCAGAAGCCTCTTTGCTCATCCTAAGTTGCTTTAAGAAAAAAGGAACAACATAAGGAATGAAGCAATAATGGAAGTTTGGGTGGGTAACACTAACAAAAGTAAATCCTTTGAATGCTGGGTGACAAACTATAGCACCCTCCAGAAACAAAGTGCTACTCCACTAAGGCCTTCAAATAACACCCTGTCAGGTTTATGGTGGCTAACTCCTCTGATGAAGCTGTCTTAGAGACGATGTAATATTGTGTTTGCTTATTTTGTTTATATTTCAGCCAGGGCTGTTTAGAGCTTTCTGAAGAGGAAATCTGTTAGAATCAAAATCCAGTAAAAGTGATGAAGCAAGGCAATACACTTGGAACGGTAGTGTCCTCTTCCTCACGGAAAAAGGCTAAGTTTCTAAAAAACAAGGTAGTTTGCTTATTAGGAATAAAGTTCCTAAAGAAGTAAGCTGCTGCATCAGGGTTTCAGATTTCAAACTGGCAGGAACTGTTATGAGGGATTTCAAACTGGTGAAGAGTTTGCTAGAAGGGAAGTTTTGTTTAAATTACTTCTTGATGTATTCCTATAAAAAAGACAAACTGTTCTATTTCGGTTGGTGCTAAAAAGAGCAGTTACAAGCCTGCCCACACAGCCACCTGGGGTGGAATAATAATCAAGAAACTCTAGATGAACTACTGAATTAGCAGAGCTAATACCTACCAGAAATCATCTGACTGGAAAGACCAATGAACTGGGTAAATATGTGGAGATGAGTTATACAACAAACAAATGACAAGGAGAGGAAAGTACCTGGAATCAAAGAATCACAGTATTGTTTAGGTTGGAAAAGACCTTTAAAATCATTGAGTCCAACCATTAATTTAGCACTGCCAAATCCACTACTAAGCCATATCTCTAAATGCCACATCTACACATCTTTTAAATACCTCCAGGGATAGTGACTCAACCACTTCCCTGAGCAGCCTATTTCAGCACTTGACAACCCTTTGGGTGAAGAATTTTTCCTAATATCCAGTCTAAACCTCCTCTGAAGCAACTTGGGGCCATTTCCTCTTGTCCTATCACTTGTTACTTGGGAGAAACAGCTACAACCTCCTTTCAAGTAGTTGTAGAGAGCAATAAGGTCTCCCCTGAGCCTCCTTTTCTCCAGACTAAACAACCCCAATTCCCTCAGCTGCTCCTTATAGGACTTGTTCTCCAGCCCTTCATCAGCTTCATTGTCCTTCCTTGGACCTGCTCCAGCACCTCAATGTCTTTCTGTAGTGAGGAGCCCAGAACTGAACACAGGATTCAAGGTGCAGCCTCACCAGTGCTGAGAACAAGGGGACAATCACTTTGCTGGTCCTGCTGGCTAGGCTATTGCTGATACAGGCCACAGTGCCACTGGCCTTCTTGGCTGCCTGGGCACAAGCTGGCTCATGTTCAGCTCCGTCAGTCAGCACCCCCAGGTACTTTTCCACTGAGCAGCTTTCCAGCCACTCTTCTCCAAGCCTGTAGCATTGTATTGTTTTGTGACCCAAGTGCCAGACCTGGCACTTTGCCTTGTTGAACCTCATACCACTGGCCACAGCCCATCTAGCCTGTCCAGACCCCTCTGCAGAGCCTTCCTATCCTTCAGCAGATCAACACTCCCAGCCACCTTGGTATCATCTGCAAGCTTCTGAGGGGCAGTTCATCCAGGTCATCCCTGAAGATATTAAGCAGAACTGGCCCCAATACTGAGCCTTGGGAACACCACATGTGACCAGACACCAACTGGATTTAACTCTTTTCACCACTACCCTTTGGGCCCAGCCATCCAGCCAGTTTTTTACCCAGCAAAGAGTGCACCCAGCTAAGCCATGAGCAGCCAGTTTCTCCAGGAAAATACTGTGGGAGATGGTGTCAAAGTCTTTACCAAAGTCTAGCTAGACAACATCCACAGCCTTTCCCTCAGCCACTAAGTGGCTCACCTTGTCATAGAAGGAGATCAGGTTAGTCAAGCAAGTTGGGTTCAATAAGTAGAGTCTTTCAGTGGTGAACTTTGAATCAAGATCGAACAGATATAAAGAAGTACCAAATCATTTGGAAAATATAACTGAACTTTTGGAGTCTTGCTTATTCCTGCAGGCTCCACCTTTTTGTGCACATCTCTGTATACAAAACCATCCTCCAGATGACAAATTTAAGCCAATTTGTCCATGTGCCTTTGTTGTGAAATAAGTAGAGGAAAAACAGCAGAAGAGGACAACTTACAGGTTTGAACATTTCTGGGTCAGGAAAGTATTTTGGATTCCTGTGCAACCAGTATGGTGACAACATCAGCATGTCACCTGCAGGGATGATGAAATTCTGAAAAGGAGAAAAAAAATCTAAGAAAAGAGAAAATCACAGGTTTACATCATAAAACAGTCCCTCCTCTTACTACTTCACAGCTCTTTCACAGCTACAGGTTGGGCAGAGAAGAGATTCAGAGCAGCCCTGCGGAGAAGGACTTGGGGGTGTTGGTCGATGAGAAAATGAACATGAGCCGGCTTCAGTGTGTGCTCGCAGCCCAGAAAGCCAACCGTATCCTGGGCTGCATCAAAAGGAGCGTGACCAGCAGGTCACATGAAGGAGGTGATCCTGCCCCTCTACTCTGCTCTTGTGAGACCTCACCTGGAGTATTGTGTGCAGTTCTGGTGTCCTCAACATAAAAAGGACATGGAACTGTTGGAACAAGTCCAGAGGAGGGCCACGAGGATGATCAGGGACTGGAGCACCTCCCGTATGAAGACGGGCTGAGGAAGTTGGGGCTGTTCAGCCTGGAGAAGAGAAGGCTGCGTGGAGACCTCACAGAAGCCTTCCGGTATCTGAAGGGAGCCTATAAGGACTCTTCATTAGGGACTGTAGTGACAGGACAAGGGGTAACAACTTAAAACTTAAATAGGGGAAGTTTAGATTGGATATAAGGAGGAAATTCTTTACTGTTAGGGTGGTGAGGCACTGGAGTGGGTTGCCCAAGGAAGTTGTGAATGCTCCATCCCTGGGAGTGTTCAAGGCCAGGTTGGGCAGAGCCTTGGGTGGCATGGTTTAGTGTGAGGTGTCCCTGCCCATGGCAGGGGCATTGGAACTAGACAATCTTAAGGTCCTTTCCAACCCTAACTATTCTATGATTCTATGATCCTACTTTTATCAGCAGAAGATCCTAACCAAGGATCAGTGAATGTCATACATCCACTGTGGGCACATTGTGTTCAGACAGATTCTTCTTGCTGTTGCTGGTTTTTTCCCATGAGAAAGATGTGAACAGTGGAGAATGGGGAAAGACTATTTCTGTTCCAGTTTGTTTTTTTCAGGTATTGAAATAATAGGAACATTATTTCTGTCTTTCCTGCTTTTTGAGGTACCCATGTGAGCTGGGACTTTTTTCTAAATCTTTTGTTAAGCACTTCCTTCAATGCAAAGAAATTCATAGAATGTCTTATGTGACAGTAGATCTTTATACGACTTCAATAATTTCTTAAATAGGCATGAGCACTAATTCCTTGAAGTGTTTTTCTCCCAGACTTTTATTCGTGAGATTCCTGAATGCTGGCATTTCCCTTCTGAATGGCAGTGAAGAGGACAATCAGAACAGAAGTTTTATCCATTACTAAATTGTGATCCCTTCTCCTGTATCAGTTGTGTCTGATTGCTATTTTATATACGGTCATCACAGTATCTCCAGCTCAATTCAAAATTGAAGGTAAGACTGTGAGAAAGGGAAGCAAAACTACTCTTAAATTCTTGATGACTACATTAATGATGATTAATAAATCTTTCAAACAGAATATGTATGGCAGATTGTGGAATATCTCTACTATCTTAATTTTATCCAGATCTATTGGGAGGCCCCTCTCCAGACAAATCATACAGCATCTTTTTTGGGGGGGAAAACCCACCAAACCTCACCTGAATTCTTACTGGGTTTACTACTTTCTTGGTGATTGCACCTGGAGACCTCAGCCTGATGGCTTCCAAAGTGCACCATTTCATAAAAGGGAGCTTCTTAAGGTCCTCTTCAGAGACATCTATTTTATCTTTACCTGTTGTGGCATGAGAAAAAGACTCTCTAAATATGAGATTTCATCCTTGTTTTGATACATGCTTATATGTCTTGCTTTAGAACTGCTGATAGAATACTTCAAAAATCTCATTTTCATCCAGAAATTTTCTTTATATTTCAAAGCAAATTAATGGACCAAAATCCATCTTAAGTACAACTTAAGAAAAGCCACTGAAGATTATTTAATAACTCCAAGGAAGGTGTAGATGTGGAATTGGCCAGAAGAGGGAAAACAAAGGTCAGCTTGTAAATTAAGAGTTGCTGGACTTTTTCTGCACATGTAGGGATACTACATGGAAATCTGAGGGACTGTAGACACCAGGATGAGAAGCCACGGCTTAGCTCTTGAGCTATGTTATCACTAGCAAATAAAACAGGTCCAGGAGAAAGGCTTAAATTAAGCACTGGTTTGTGATTTGCCTTATCAGTTAATTATTGCCATGTTTCTTGATATGGTTTTGACTCATGTCAACTCAGAGTCTTCCATGAAAGTCTAAGCATGGTTCAGGGGATGGCAAATGTGAATGACTGCTCCCAGTAGGTGACTGTTTTTTGAGGGAAAGAGATTAGTCTTGTGGTGGGTGAATCATGCTGGACAAATTCACCTCAGATGAGAGAAAAGAGAACAGTTCCTGGCCTGTTTTTCTACAGAATAGCTGTCAATCTCGTGAACATCACACCATGAAAAGCAGCTGAATTGAAAGAGCTCACCTGACCCTATCTATCATAGATGCATGAAAGAATCACAAGACTGGCTAATACAAATCTAGGTCTAAATGACAAGTGTGGAATGAAGAGACAAATACATGCAGTTCTTCTTCTACCTTCTTTTGCTAACACCAAAGGTGGTTTTGCTTAAAAATATGTCTTCACCATATGTTGAGTAAAGAACTCAGAGCTGGATCTATGTTACCAGTAGCACTGTTAGCAGCAATATTCATTAATCTGATTATTCATTATTATTATATTAGAATAATTATTATATTATTGACCCAATGTGTCCTGTGCTGGGCCAACATAGAATAAATGATTTCTAGGTTACAGAAGGACCCTGCTGGATTTATTACCTGCTTTGCCAAAAACAGAAGCCAGGTCTTCCATGATTTTCTTGTAAATGGAAGGATAAGTGAGTATGAAAACAAGGGTCCAAAAGGCAATCTAAACAGAGACGAAAGTACTTTAACTCAGGACTATGGAACAGAATTACAGCATCTTTGTAGAAGATCACTGGGGCAGGTGAAAACATTTGCACTTTTTTGCATGTGCCTGTTGTAGTTGGGATGCACAGGGAGCTGTGCTTCCTGGTTAAATCCACATGTAAAGACTCAGACCTTGGGAGATTATGTCTAGTCATCTTCTGTGTACTTCAGTGAATATTATATAGCTTTGGCTTTGAGCTTTGAAACACTAACTTCTTTAATTACAGATTACTAGGTGTTAAAATGAATTACTAAATCATTGAGTATGATTAGATTTATCTGCATGAATGGGAAAAAGAATCAATAGTAAATTCCTACTAGTATTAGCAGAAATGAGGTTAAATAATTTGCAAAGCATTGTCACTGAGTGGCACTAAAACGAGCAGGAAAAGTTTTAATTAATGGCAAAACAAGCAGTAGCATATCCCCTTTAGAAATAATTAGCTAACTGATTATGCAATGAAGTTGAAAATCAAGACATTTAGGAAAGCAGAAAATCCTCTTAAGTAGGATGAAACCAGAAGGACTTGCAGCACCGCCAGGAATCGCTTTCTCGTCTTGCTGAGCTAGCAGGAGGTGAGGTCTACAGACAGATCTGGTCATGGGCCATCTGTGCTGGTGAGGGATGAGAACTCTTACTGGTATTTCCCAAATAGCCCCACATGGATGCTGCCCTCCTTCTGCAAAACAAAGCTGGTAGCTTAATTTTCTTGTACAGCTCTTGGATGCTGTGGCTTCACTCCATGGGCCAAGGAGGGATGGCTAAATTGTTTTAGGTAAAAGGGTTTAACATGCTTGTAAAAATACCCCCTTGGAAGGTAAAAGGACCTTTTTTTGTCATTCCCATCACCAGAACTGTGGTTGTGCTCCTCAAGGTCCCTTCTAACCCGTTATTCTATGATTCTATGACTATTCTGAGAAAGAACAAAATATCTGTATGTCTATTTGCAGCTGAATACTACAGGAATAAGTAATGATAGTGTTGTGGAAGGAATGTCAGTTATCCTGGTAACAGACAGCAGGCTATGCCTCTCACTTATGCCACCATGTGAATCCACAAAAACCTCACTGAAATGGATGAAATTCCTTTAGGGTAAATTGTAGTAACATCCAATCTACAAACCCCACAGATAATATCCATTAGCAGTACATACAAAAGTAACTTCTATCATTTGTTTTCTAAATCACATCTGTAACAGGCATAACTGTGCTGGAAAGAGCTTAGTAGTCATGCTAAATAAAGGATGTTTTTGCTACTATGGCTTTTTCATCTGAGAAATTCCTATAAATGTCTTTGGTCAGCCTAGGCTGTGTTAGACACATTGGACTTGTTAGCATGCTTATATCTGTACCATTAATCCATCAAATACATTTCTAACACAGACAAAAGTCAAGTGGCAGTAGAATCAAACTACCACTTTCCTTCACTGGAATCAGCACTGGCATTTGTACAGCAGATCCCGCAAAGTGAAAGAGCCAAAATCACTCAAGGTTTTATACACAGATGAAGTTACTCTATATTATGTTTTAATATTCTTTACAATTGGTAACATCAGGCTATGTAGAATAGAGTCTCAACTATAATACAGCCAAAGTGCTTCAAAATAGAGCTGAATGCTCCTCACAGCTGAAGACTGTGATCTTAACAGCTATGAGACATGATCCTGAAATGCTATGGTAGGGGACATCATAATTTAGGAAAAGTACAAGAAGAACTTTCCTTGTCATGGCATCTGTGACATTGCAGCCTGGGTATATTTTGAGTGATGCATGTGGGCGTGATAATCCCTTCTTTGGAATACACGCAGCGTGTGTGACCTCTGGTTTGAAGGCTTTGCTTCCCAAATACAGGCATTTGAACAGGGTAAAGTGTTTCTCTAGCTGAGGTACTTACGGGAATAGCATTTGCTTGGGAAGCCCAGAGCATTAGAAGACTGTAATTGGGAGCTAGGTGTCTTCCTTGCAAGTTATCCAGGAGATGTTGCAGTAACGTCTGTTATAAATAAAAGATAGTAATGTGCATTTCCAAAAATATATTAAAATCTAGTTTAGGGTAGGGCTTATGAGAATTCAAGGATATAATATATCCTAGTTAACATAGGACTAGTTTATCAAAGTAATGTTAGTTATGGGGATTTTGCAGTCACGAAGTAGAGATTACAGATGTTAAGAGAAAATGAGACTCACTTTCAGCAGCAGCAGGCCAGAAGAAGTCAATGCACTACATGAATCCCTACTAAATACTTTCACTGCCCTCCATTTTCTTCAAGTTTTTAGGGGATTTGGTTCCCTCACTCCCAATTGTTTCTCGTATATGGAAGAAAAAAGACATCTCTATTCTAATTCCTGCTCTACTTCTCTAAAGAACCTGAAAATGGGACTGAAAAAGTTGAATGAATGGAAATAGAGAAAATATTCTCGCTGTTCCTGCCAAAATGGTGTTTATTATGAAGAGATGGTCTGATACATCAGCAAACTCCCTAATTCCAGGTGCTTTGTTAGTGACCAAACCAGTGACTGCAATTGCTTGATATTTTTTGAAACTATAGCAACCGTGTAATGCTCTAGGATCAGCTTTGTTTATAGTATTTCCTTAAATACAGGGCAGCCATGCATTCAAGGCAAAGCTTCCTGCCTGCTTTTCAGAGGGGAAAAGGTTGAACTTGAATAAAAAATGACCACTCTTTTTCCCAGATTCCCACCCAGTCTAAGACACCAAGTTTGTGCCTCCTGCTTCCTGCAGTTCTTTACCTCCCACAGACCCCTCTCCAGCCTTCTCTTCTTTCCCCAGTTTTGCTTTACTTTATGAAAGAAATTGTGGCATGTAAAGCTTTTAAAGTCTAAATAAAACCTGGTTTGTTTAATCGTCTGTTCTATAACCATTTGGTAGAGCAAAATTCCCAGGCCAGTCTGCCGTCACGTTTGTCAGCTGTATAGACAGAATTCCTGCCATAGCTAAGGAGAATAACCAGGGAGACAACTTATCACAGCTTTTGCACAATTGGTATTTAGGGTACTTGGCTTCCAATCCAGTAATCTGCTATTTTCTACTAGTCTGGCTGCTGGAGGATCTCCTCACTCCACACAAGGGTTTAAAAATAGCACCTGCAAGGTTTCGAAATTTCACAGCACAGTGCCCTCAGAGAAACAACTGAAAAGGTCTTTCACATCTTTCGACTGCTCATTGCAACTGTGATACTGGAGCCTGGCAATGGGTCACAGCTCTGAACTCTTGGCTTTAAATTCCCCAGAGGAAGATGCCGATTTTCACAATTGCAGGAAATAAAATACTTTGAGGAGTGGGACTCAAAATTATGGGTCTGTCCTAATGTAGGTGACAGCAATACTGCACAATTAAGGTAAAGCTATAAAATCTGAAAGGTTTAGTTTGTTTCTTCCAGTACTGAAATAACTCCTGTCCTCTATCACTTCAGTCAGAATACACATGAAGTCATGTTATTTCATAGCCTTGGATGTTTACCTTGGATGTGGTCTCTGAAGGGTTGGTCCTTTCAGCATCCAACACTACTTTCTCAAATAATTTTAGAAGCCATGTTTTGGATTTAGACCAGTTCCTGCAAAGAAAAGCAACAAAACAACAAGCACTTAACCGAGGCAGCACAAACTAACATTTCCTTTTCCATGAGAAGGACTCCTTGTTTTTTTTCCAAAAGCCCTGGGCAGCAGTCAGTCGATGGATAGTCAAATGTCAGTCTGACTGACATGAGGAACTCACTGACATGAGGAACAGTATGTCCGGGACCTTCACCTTGGCCAGACCTCATCTTGCAGCCAGGACCTGTGACTGCAAGACCCCTAGATTTTCCCATCTGTTTCACTGTGGCTTTGGACAGATTGCTTATGCCAATCTTTTCAAGAATTATTCTTTCTAACAAAATCAAGGCCCCATTTTTGAAGCATCCTCAATTCTTTCTTAAGGCTATTTTGAGGCGCTTAAGGTGCTGTCGTGGCCCTGAGGGCACTGAAAGGCTCTGTGAACACTTTCCTCAGGGTTTGGTTGCCTCTATCCAAAGTCAACTCTGTGACAGTAGAGTAGTGTAACCTGGCATCAGTCTGCTGGGAAAACAGCTATGGTGTGGAAAAGAGCAGAGAGATGCCTTGTTGGGGAGCCCCTCAGCTTGGGACTTAAATTTAGGCTCAAGCCTTTGCTCTTTGCCCCATTCTGCTAGTCCCTGACAGCTCCAAGGACCCATCCCACCTAAGCAAAGCTGTTTCTGCTTTATGCCAGGAAAATGCACAAGACAAGGTCAGAACTGTTTTGAAGCATCTAGCCAAAGGCCTGACCCAAGGACATGCCGTCAATAAAGACAGTGCATCATCCTCCAGGGAAAATGTCTCTCGTGGCTGATATTCCAGTAAGCAAAATGTAATGGGTACCTGTAACGGGTACACCACAAGCATCATCTCTGCTCCATTACCTCAAGAAGCATTCGGGCATCTGAGAAGCGTATTCAAAGTCCTCATCATACTTCTGAAAATGTTCTTCAAACTCCTTGATTTCACTCTGACCTGTTGGGCAGATGCCTTTCCCAAACAGAGTTTCCACCACTGCTGGATACATGACATGCCTGCAAAGACAAGTTCCCTATGATTTACAGGCTATGGGGAAGCTGTTGCAGCAGGTTTAGGTCAGAACGCAGCATGCTGAATTGCCAGCACTAGAAGGTGTGGGACTCAAGGGTCATGCCAGTATGGAAGGGCTGACACAAAGCTGATACCTCATGCCCTCATTGAAGATTTTAAGCAGAGGATGGGAGATACATGGGTCTCAGGCTAGTCCTCTTCACATGGCTGAGCTTCGTCAGTTAGTGTTTGATCGCTTGAGCAGTGGCAGAAAGGCTCTGGGCACTGAGGTCCCTTTCTCCCTGTTAACCACCCCTCTTATTTCAGGTTAGCCCATGCAGATCTTCTGGGAGTTGCACAAACCCTTCTGCAACCAGGCACCCCAACAAACCCTTCCTCCGGCTGCAGCTTCGCTGGACAGAACAATGCTCTTTTGTTTTCTTTTTGTCTCACACCTCCCCTGAATGCTCCTCTGTTATCCTGACAAATCTGAGCTCCCTTTTCAGACCACTTCACCTCTTTAGCTCTGAGAAACCCTCATGCAGTCTTTGCTGGGTTGCAGCTACTGCTAAATATATATTTCAGGCAGTGACTCTTTCGCTTTCCTCCTTTTCTGAAGATCACAAGGACGTTGGAGCCACCTGCTGGCTCTATGGATTTAATTCTGAGGCAGATAAACAATTATCCGAGGCATTGCATACCAATTCTTTTCCCCTGCCTTGTTTGGCAAAACCATAAGAACAGATCACACTGTGGATGATTTTTCTGGATTCTGCAATCTATCATATAACTGGTTTTTTTTGAAACACTTTAAACAAGTAACAGCTGATTTGGATGCTATGACAGACATGGCAGTGGGAAGAACACCATCTGCCTGAGGCTGCATCAAGGATGTAGCAGGATGGGGTGATTTTAGATGAAACCCTGTCCACTCCGTGCTCCACCTGAAACTGTGAAGCAGTGATGAGCATCATAGAATCATAGAATAGTTAGGGTTGGAAAGGACCTTAAGATCATCTAGTTCTAACCCCCCTGCCATGGGCAGGGACACCTTACACTAAATCGTATCACCCAAGGCCGTGTCCAACATGGTCTTGAACACTGCCAGGGATGGAGCATTCACTACATCCCTGGGCAACCTATTCCAGTGCCTCACCACCCTAACAGTAAAGAATTTCCTCCTTATATCCAATCTAAACTTCCCCTATTTAAGTTTTAACTTGTTACCCCTTGTCCTGTCACTACAGTCTCTAATGAAGAGTCACTCCCCAGCATCCCTATAGGCCCCCTTCAGGTACTGGAAGGCTGCTATGAGGTCTCCACACAGCCTTCTTTTCTCCAGACTCCTGACAGAGCTTTTCTAAGGCTGAAGAGCCTGAGCTCTACCTGCTTTACAGTAATGAGGGAGATTTAGTTTAGATATAAGGAAGACATTTTTTACTGTGTGGATGCTGAGGCACTGGCACAGGTTGCCCAGAGACGCTGTGGCTGCCCCATCCCTGGCAGTGTTCGAGGCAAGGCTGTATGGGGCTTGGAGCAAGCTGGTCTAGTGGAAGGTGTCCCTGCCTGTGTCAGGGAATTGGAACTGCATGATCTTTAAGTTATTTTCCAACCCAAACCATTCCATGATTCTATGATAATATCTCTGCTTCCATACAGGATACCCATACGTTAGCCATGAGCTGCAGAACTCCCTTACCTTACCAGGTCATTGAGGTCACCTGTGCCCTCCGTGCCGAGGTGTGTCATGTGCTCATATAGCTCCTTACACAAAGTGCCCGTGAACATATGCAGATTAGAAGGAGCCATTTTTCCCTTCAGCATGCTGTAGAGGTTACCGTGGTTCTGATAAAATGCTTCTGCAGGGACAGAAACTAAATACAAAAAGAAACAGAAACATTTTGGAAAGCAGATGTACTACAGGGTAACAACTAATTATTACTACAAGCTGATTTTCAACTCAAATGATGGGACAACATACTATTGCTACAAACCTGGTACGCATAGGTGTGATACCAGGAAATAAAGGGTTAACATTGTGCCTGCTTGCTTAAGCAGTTGCTGTGCTTGGTGAAGCAGAACCGTAAGAGTCAAAGTTGGTAGAATGGTGAAGCAGAGTTGTAGGAGTTACAGCTGCTAGGCAGAATTGCAGTAGATAAGATTCCTAGCTTAATATTTAAGACATTCTTGTTCAAATAGTATCTTTAGAAAGAAAAGGAACAAAAGATAGCCAGAGTAACAAAATTTGCAAACTTGACAGGTTTCTTCTTTAAGGTACATAAAACCGGCTTGTACCGAACCTGAGGTTTGGATAGGAGCCAAAACCCTATTGAGTCTGCGTGAAAGCAAGAGGTTACTCACGGTGATGAAGAGGAACTACAGGCCTTCATCCTCACGACCCCATAACAACCACCACCAGGAGGCACTACGCAGGTGCATCAATGGGATGAATGCCAGAAAACTAATTATAATACTAGACGGGAATAGGCTTTGCGTATGTATTAGGCGTGAAGCAATCTCATGTTTAGGTAATCATTACATGTAATAGTAATAGTGGCAAAGGAGGGTGTGCATGGTTTTGGAGAAGCAACCCCCATGCGCCTCAGCGCTGAATAAAGCATACCTACTTTACAACTCTAACGAGTTGTGGAGTCAACCCGCATATCAGGTGGAGTGTCTAGACACAGAAAAGGACCTGATCTCAAACTGGGAGTGACTGATGATGAAAGTAATAACAGTCCCTGCATCAGAAAGCCTTGATCCCTTGAGGCTGAATCCAAACCACTTTACAGGTTTACAGTGCTGGATCCACGTGAATAAATTTAATTTCACCTTCATTTTGTAGCATGGGCTTTGGGTAGGGCAGTAATGTCCCTGGGTATCCAGATTTGATTTCCATTAAAAAAGAGCACGGTCTCATTTACCTGCATTCTTGACAGCTTGTTGGACTGCCTGTTCAAAATTTAAGTCTTCAGATTTAAAAAACACTTCAGCTCCTTCTTCCTCAGTCACAAAAGTGTACCGCTTTCCCAGAGCAAATATTGTGAACACAGGCCCATGCTGGAACAAAGAAAGATTTCATATTACTGTATTGCTAACACGTTTGATGGGAGAACGGCACTTTGGTGCTGCTGAGAGCTCAGGAGGGAGGACCTGGTGCTTCCTGCTCTCTGTACACCTTATCTCAGAAGTGCACAAAGATCAGCATGAACCAGACCAAGTTTGTAGTCTTATGACCCAGAAGGGAACATATGTGCCTGCCTGACCAGACCTCTTGCAGATTAACATTTTATATTTGAATTACATTACAGTTCAAACAATACAACCTACTTGGGGTTTAAGAACCCAAGTGATGGATTATCTACTGCACCCCTTGGCTGCCATAGCGAAGTACCCACATTGTAAAAATCCATGATCCTACCAATTTTAATCTGCAATTTTTTTAACAAAAAACCTACTCCTGCCTATTTTTAATATTTTGGTTTTTCCTTTCCCTTTGTTTTCCCTTTCCTTATTTAAAGGTTCCGCTAATACCAAGGATTTATTTCTTGTACAGGTGTTTAAAGATTAGTATCTAAATAACTAGCAAGCTTTGAGCAGAATAGATGGAGTTTGCTGAGAGTTATATTCAGGGAACGTTTTTGATGCCATAAATCATTCTTTCATTTGCCCTTAATTTAATAGCCTAGAGCTCTCTTAGAACTTTCAGCAGTAAGTATCCACATAATTATTCTGAATTCCTACATTATTTAAAAGATTGCTGATATGTGTAGATACTCTAAGCTAGGAAACAAATGCGCAGTGTCTGCTGGCTGTAAGATTTAGGCATTAAAAAAAATCAAAATTATGAAATAGAGCATCTTTAGCATCTTTTTCTTAGTCAAGGCAATTTCTGCTTGCAGGAGAAAGCCTTGGAAATAAAAACCACAGCATTTACATTTATAGGCACACCATCTTCTCTTGGCAAAGTTACTGTGCATAGGGAAAGGTTTAGGGCTTTCATAACATCTCTAAGCACATGAAGGAACTTGATTTTGTTTTCCAGGTTACATTGCTAAAAAGGGTGAGAAGTTGTTTTCTGTTGATTTGTTTGGAGCACTGAAAAGCCTTGAATCCTCCTTGCTCACGTGGTTTATGCCACTGACTTTAACCATTTCTTTTATTGTCTGTGTCTGTATTGTAAAGCCTGCTCCATCAAAAGCTCTTTGAAGGAAAAGATTCCTCTTGGCATCAGTTGACTTTTGAATGTGTCCTTCAACTGTAAATTATTAAAGAATGACTGTTTAAACTCTGTGCAATAATAAATAAAATACTGTTTAATAATAGCTGAGGTTGCTTTCTTAACAGGTAACAGCAGGTCTTCACCATCAGGCTGGACAAACCCCAGTGAATCTGTACTTGGGCTTAAATTAGATATTTTAAATTTTATATTAACACTAAAATGTACTTAAAGCAATTTTAAAATAAAATTAAATTTGAATTAATAACCACCTGCAATAACAATTAATTATTCAATTAAGGTCACACTCAATTAAAATTAGAACACTTTATTTTAGATGATTACATGTAAGCAAGATGCCTAAGCTCCCACTATATGCAATCAGGGGAGCCTAAAACATGATTCACCTGACCACCTACTGCACCCCTCTATTTCTGAAGGTGAGCAGAACTGCCCTTAGACTCCACTGACAGGACTGGCTTTGTGTCCACTGTTCATCAGTAAAGCTGGATGTTTTACCTGTAAACATCTACACAAACAATCTGATTTGGATCTCACCAAATTTCCTGCAATCTATTTAGAATAATAAGAATTAAACCAATATTGAATGAAACTGCAATAAAATAAAGCCCTATAAAGACCTCCTGAACAAGTCAGCTTCATTGAACAGTGCAGTGATGGTGGATATTCACAGACATATCTTTCAGAAGGGAGAATTTTGTGTCCCAACAGGAAATTACAATAAATATGATAGCAGATCAATTACATTTAAAATTAAAATGCTAAAGAAGGTTTGAGGATCAAACCACTAATGGCAATCCCCATCCCCTGTAAGACAGACTTTTCCAAACACTCAAGATGCAGGAAGTTTCGCAGTGTGTTGCTGAGCCTGATAAATGCTCAAGGTGCAAAGAAACCACATGGGGAGGAAGCATTTATGTCAGTTTAACGCAAGTCCCACACTGGAGCCTTTCACCCAGTGTGATAGATGGAGACTTTGTATCAAAGGAAGTATTAAGTAGAATAGACTTAAACAAGTGCTCGGTAAAACAGTGATAAATATTTCAAGTTAAAACTCTAGAGGATTTGAAATATGAAGTCACAGAACTACCTACTATGATCTGTTAAATCACCCTCAGCAACAGGAGGATGGACAGGTGAACATGGTGCCTTTCTAAAGGGCTCCTGAGGGAGGACCTGGGAAGCCTCAGAGTCATTCCAGTACTCAACATATTTTTACAAGCATCATTAAAGATAAGGTTTAGCAGTTGATAAATAGGATGTACTGAAGGAGAGCCCAATACAGCTCTTAGGAAGACATAAGGATATGTGGCCTTAAGCATATTCCTAATTCATTACTTAGAAGAAGGAATCAAAAGTTTTCTCATGATCTGGACTCATTTGGAAGTTTAAACTATGAGATCTAGAAACATTACAGAAGAAGGCGGCCTAGAAAAATCACATTCTGAAATGACTCCAAGATCTATTAGCACTCCAAGTGGTAGTAATTAATTTAGAGCTCTCATCTTGCTAGGAAAGGAGAGGAGAAAGGACAACAAACATCTAAACTAATCCTGTGCCCACATCTTCAGTTTAATGTCTCATTCCATCTCAGCAAGATATACTGAGGGAGAAAAGGCAAAGGGATGCACAGCAAGCATGAATGAAAGTTTCAACAGAAAGATACTTATATCCCATGGAAACGTGAAAAGAGAACAATTATTCCTGGGTTCTCATAATGTAAAGGCTAATGGGCACCTATTTAATGGTTTAAAACCAGACAGGATACTTTATATCATTCATGGTTAAATTATGGATTCACTGCTGTGGAATGCTAAGAAACAAAAATTACACACACAGTAATAAAAGAGATTAGGTTATTGTAGTCAGATCTGGATGCAAATTCCGGCCTGGGAAGTCCCTCAACCGTTGACAACCAGAAGCTGGGAAGAGGGAGTAGAATGCAGCGTATTCTCATCTGGGCGTGCTCCTTACACTGTTACTGAGCATCTACCAATGGCTGCTATTCGAGAGAGACACTGAATAAACAGGTTTTTCATGTGTCCCAGTATAATTACGCTGTTGTTCTAATGCAATAAAATCAGCTACTGGAACAAGCTGTGGGGGAGCTCTGCAGTTACCATCTCAGTGGTACGGGCGGGTAACAAGAAAAGCGTGGGCGCCGCCTGCCAACACTGCGTGCCTGTTTACTGTTCTGTCTGAAACAGTGTTTGAGGAGACATGCTGACAGAGATATGGAAAGCAAAATAAAAATGCTCTTAGGAGTCAGGGCCTATGAAGCTGCTTTCACTCCTCTGTTTTTCCCAAAGACTGGGAAACACTGCACAAAGCAGTGCCGTGATGAGGCACAGATCTGAGCCTATACAAAAGTAATACTCCAGAGAAATAAAACTTCAGGATGTTCTCCAAAGTTCCAAAGGAAAGAAATTGAGGAAACAGCCTGTTTTCCCAGGGGTGCTGCAAGGCAGGGAGCAACCACTCTCAGCTGAGACAGCTGTGGTTAGAATCACAGAATCAATGAGGTTGGAAAAGACTTTTAAGATCATCAAGTCCAACCCTTACTCCATCACTGCCAAGTCCACCACTAAGCCATGTCATGGCCTCTACGTTTTTTTGGAACCTGTTCAGGAACGGTGATTTCCCCACTTCCCTGGGCAGCCTGTTCCAATTCCTGATCACCCTTATGGTGAAGAAATTTTTTCTAATTTCAAATCTAAACCTCCCCTGGTGCAGCTTGAGGCTGTTACCTCTTGTCCTATCACTTGTTACTTGGGAGAAGAGACCAGCCCCACCTCACTACAATCTGTTTTCAGGTAGCTGTAGAGAGTGATAAGGTCTTCCCTGAGCCTTCTCTTCTCCAGACTAAACAACGCCATTTCCCTCAGCCGTTCCTCATGAGAATCGGTCTCTAGTTGTGTCAAGAGTCACGTTGGGAGCTAGGTGCACTGGGCTGGTTTTCTCTCCTCTGGTGTACAATCACAAGTTCAATGTCATGTCCCCTCTCTATCAAAGGGACTTTAGAATTTTGGTCTTCAGTGTATGGGACCAGGCTCACAGACCATTATCAACTCAGATGTGGCCATGGTCTTTGGAAACACTCTACCAGAAAACCTGTCTTCTCCTCCAGCCTGTTTCCCCTACACCAAACCTCATCCAGGATGCGTGTCCCTTGCCAGCTAACACAGTGAGCCATCCCAGACGCAGCCACACACAGACAATAAACCTGGGAGGCATCCAGCTGAGTCCTGGCACCATGTCCCAAACACAATCAACACACAGAGAGTGATGTATGGATCCATAATCCATACAGTAGTGCAGAACAATCTCATGGGTTTCATTGAGCTTTTCTTGTTAGCTTAATTAACAAACTGATGAAAAGCATTTGAAATTCCTGGTTTGAGCAAAACCTGGTCTAGTGGAAGGTGTCTCTGCCCATGGCAGGGGTTTTAAGCTAGATGAGCTTTAAGGTCCCTTCCAACTCAAAACATTCTATGATTCTATAATTCATAAACTCTTACCACGTTTCCATGGCAAAGTGTGGAACCACAGCCATTGAACCCCTCATTGAGCAGCTCTCCCTGTATTTTGTGTGGCATGGTGTCTCCAGTTACCCACCCTGCCCATCCCAGATCACTTGCAAAACCACTTTAACCAGGCAGCTTTAGGAGGAAGAGGTGGTATCTTTTATTAGACCAGAGATTAAATATTTTACTGGACAGGGGATCTTTCTTTTTTTAGACCCACTGATGACACAAGGGGAAAACCAGACAATTCTGCAGCCCACGTCTTGCTCTGTAGGAGGAAAACAGAAACCGTGAACTTCAAGCAAATTGAGGCTGGAAGCAGTGGAAGGAGAAAAAGCACTGAGGGATATAGACAAAAGGGCCAATAATAAGAAAGCTAACTTTAAGAAAGAAATGAGTGTCACTTTGACAGAATGAAGAATTAATCCAGGGGAGAAATTTTCTAATTGTGAAAGTCTCCCTAGAAGGTAATGACCCTACCAAGCCAAAGAGGTTTTACACTGCCCAGAGCCTGCTGTTTCTGCACTTTTATGAGAGCAACTTGCTTGTACTAAGGGCACTTAACCTTGTTCTGGCAATATTAAGGAGTGTGGAATTATTGCAGATATATTTTGCAATCCTTGTAATGACTGTTAATGACCTTTTGGCAGCAGCACTTGTTTTATTTGGCTGCACTCTGCTACAGTGCCTACTCCTTTAAAAGGGAGCAGGCAGGAAAAGGCTTGTCTTTCCAGGCCTCAGCACAGCCCAGTGTGGGTTGGTGGGAAGGGAGGGAGAGGTGCCTGGGGTGTTTATAGAGAGGAAAGGAAGAACAGGAGAGCAGGGGCAGTAAGGGTAAGATCCTGCTGCAGCCAGCCAGCCAGGGAGTGATGGATGGAAAGGTCCCTCCTGAACCAGGGGGACCACAGGGAGAGGTCAAGTCACAGGGATGCTGAGTTGCTGGACTAAGAAAAAAGCCAAAGGAAAGGTCCTGTCTGCAAACAACACACAGTAAAGGGGAGAAATGTAATAAAGCCTCCTCTTCCTGCTTTGCCTTATTCAGAGTTTTCTCCCATTGGAAATGTTTTTTACTCTAGTTTCTGTCCCAATAAAACCTGGGGTTTATAAAGTCCTTCAGGTGTCTCTGGTGTGTTCAGAGGTGTCAGCAGCTGCCTAAAGGGCAAGTGAACATCAAAATTAACCAGAGACCCAGTGCCACCAAGCTTGCATTTGTACTTCAGAGTATGTAACAGTTTTTGCTCATTCAATCTGTGAATGAGTTCCCAAAAGGACTCTTCTCTCAGGTTTTGTCTGTTGGATTTTGGTTGGTTTTTTTTTTAAGGATTTCTTCTAAGAGATTTTGTTAAAAGCTTCCTGGTGAAGAAAAGGCAACTAAAGGAAGCTTAAGTCCCGGTGAAACATCTGTCCCCAAAACGAATTGCACTGAAAAGGAGTCTGGCAAGCTGCTTTAATCTGTTTGCCACCAGGATGTTTTCAACACAAGCAGATTTCTAACAGCCTTCAATTTGAAGAGTCAAACAAATACTATCATTGGGGTTTTTTTTAAGTGAGGCTTGACCAGATTGTTTAAAGGATTATGTGGCTGGTTTCTGCTTTCATTTAACACCACAAGTTAATCACAAACATGGCTGAAAAGAAGTATTTAAACATATGAAATCGAATAGCTCAAAATGAGAAAGCAAATTTTAAACATCCTTTTTTTTTTTCTCAAATTTCAGGATGTTGCAGAGGTTTCATTTTTAGCTAGTTTGTGCAAGAAATGGGCTGTGCAATCCTTCAGTATCGGACACGTGAGGCTGACCACATTGCAGTAGCAGCTGCCATCGCTGACTGAAAATGGGAAATGGGTTTTACAACAACTAGTATTAGCTACCTAGAAATTAATCATTTAGGCTCTGTCTATCAGACAGACAGAGAAAGAAAAGCACATCTAGTGGGTAAATCTTCATACCTGCGTTTGGTAAGTGCATCAGGATGGAAAGAGTCACTTGCCAAGCATACCTGTGTCTCCTGAATGCAGGGGGACAAGCTGGCACCAAACAATTTCACCTAACTTTAAGCATGCAAATAATTAACTCCCGGTCCCCGCGCCCAGCACAGGACTTTCCACATTATCTGAAACCAAGATTAACATGTAGCCGGACTGCAAGAGCGAAACAGCAGAGGGGCTGGGTGAACAGAATGATCAAAGCACACAGATCACGCCTGCATCAGAGCCACAATTTAGCAACGTTACTGGGATAAAGCCAATCCTTCACCAGCTAAATGCTCCTCACGTTATAAAGTGTGACAGGAAAGGGACAAACTTAATGTGGGAGTTTCTCCTCAGCCTTCCCCTGCACACAGCCACCCTGAGCACACGCCCATGAGCAGGCACACCGCCACAGCCATTACCTTGCTTCTAGCTTGCTCTATGAACTCCAGAGGAGCCTTCCCGAACTGAAACGCAGCTCCAAACCAAGGGATCCAGCCCCTGATGCAAGGAGGGGAGCTTGGGTTTCTCAGCTGAAACAAAACAGCCTTGACAACAAGAAGTCCCAGGATTGCTGCCAAGAGGAAAGCAAGAGCCATTTTGCCTCTCTGCTGCCTGCCACAGCACCCGTGCGGTCGCGTCAGTGAATAGGGCGTCCTTTATCAGTTGCCAGCTGATCACTGCCACGGAGACGAGATGTCAAAGCACCAACCAGCCCAGTCTGGGGCTTGTTTTTTAACTTGTGCTGGACAAGGCAGAGTCCATTCTCTGCTCTGGGATGAGGATCAACTCCACTGCTTGCGAAACTTGGATGCTGCTTTGCCAAATCCCTAAACTTCGCACCCGTTGCTGAAGGCTACCCAAGCAGGCAGGGACACAGCCAGGGGCTCTGTGGCAAAGCAGTGTGTCACTTTCTTCAGTTAAAACAAGTATTTTTGGCAATATCAAGATCACAAAGCAGAGAGGCTGTAATTTGCAGACATCTGGTTTTCATTAAGTCAGACGGCAAGAAACTTCTGCAAGTGTCACCTGAAGCAGTAAGCCCTATGAAAGGTATCTTTCACCTGCCTGATACAATCTCATTAAAGGCTGGATGTGTGTCCAGTGTCTGAGGGGCACAGAAAGGCTTCGGAGGTCAAACTGATAGTTAAAAACATGATGGTGGCCCCTTTAATATCACTATAATGTCAGTAGACATTTCAGAGAGGTCAGGTTGATTTGTGTGTGTAGAAGTATCACACTAACACTATGTACAGAATTCAGTAGTATAAAAAAGCCTAGGAAGTGTGCTCACAGCCTGCCCCTGCACACACTCAGCGTATGTGAAGACAATACAAAACTAGGAGGAGTAGTTGATAGACAGATGGGTGTGCTGCCATTCAGAGGAGTCTCAACAGGCTGGAGAAACAGGAAAACAGGGGCTTATATAGCCACAGAATACAAGGTTGGAAAGGATCTCAAGAATCATCTAATCCAACGTTTCTCGGCAACAAAGTGACCTCATGAAGTTCAGCAAAGGGAAATGCCAAGTCCTGCCCCTGGGTAGGAATAAGCCTATCAGTACAGGCTGGGAGCCACCTGGGTGGAAAGTAGCTTGGCAGATCTGGGGTCCTGGTGGACACCATGTAGAGAATGAGTCAGAAATGTGCCTTTGCACTCAACAGCAGGCTGGGCTGCACTAGGAAGAGCATTGCCAGCAGGTCATGATCCTCCCCTTCTGCTCAGTGCTGGAGATCCATGTGGAGTGCTGGGTCCTGTTCTGGGCTCCCCAGTGCAAGAGAGACATGGACAGACTGGAGTGAGCCCAGTGAAGTGCCAAGAACTTCACAAAGGGCTGGAGCATCTGTCATTTGATGACAGGCTGAGGCAGCTAGGCTAGTTCAGCCTGGAGAAGAGATGGCTCTGCTGGAGCTGTCTTCCTCAGGATTTGGGAATATATAAACTCCAGCTGTTTGATAGACCTCTGCGAGCAATGGCCCTTCTCTGCTCCACAAATCACAGCGATGTTCACACAAGTGTCCCTCTCCAAGCCAGGCTTATTTCAGAGATCCAGTGGGAAGAGAAAATTCTTTCATCACTGCCATATCCAAATCTGTCTGGTTTATTTCCTCAGACCAAAAATGACCATGGAGAGCTGCTCTCTCTACAGGATACAATTTTATGGGGTTCATGTGAAGGAGAGATCTAGTTGGTTTCCACCCCCTAAAGCACTAGGTTAAAGAGAAGAAAGTGTGAGACTGTTTGCAGAGGTCTAAGGGATGAGAAACAATGGACACAGGATGCAACATGGGAAATTTTGACCAAATATAAGGAAAAAAAAAAAAGATCACAAAATGGTTAAGCACCAGAACAGACTGTGGGTGTGAAATCCCATCCTCGGAGGCTTTCAGTAGGTGTCCAAACAAGACCCTGGGCAACCTGATGTAACCCTGAAGCTGCCCCTGCTCTTGGCAGAGGACTGTACTAGGGGACCTCTGAAGGTCCTCTCCAATCTGAATTGTGAATCAATGATACGCAACACTGATACACAGTGGCACAAGCTGACCCAAACCCAGAGAATAGCTATGGAGAGAGGCAGAAAAGTGCCAACAGCAGCCTGCATAAACTGTCTGGAATAAGGTTGTGAACCACTCGTACCCTCAGTGCAGCCAGGCATGCTAGCATTAAACTGGAATATGCTTTATTCCCATTTAATCAGGGGTTTGTTGGTAATTTATCACTGCATAAATTCTAACCCAAAGAAGGATCCAGTTTAATACTCATTACTGGTGACTGGTGAGATAAATTCATCTGACTATAGCCGCATATTGCAGTGGTCCCTTCATTTGTCTGAATAGCTGCGACCAGGACCAAAATGTTAGGCTGTTAGACAGGGAGGTGTTCTGGGATAAGTTTGTGACCCAAAAACTCCTCAAATCCTCAGCACGAGGATTAGTGATTAATGGCTAATGATTAACTTAGTGATTCAGCTGAGCCTTCATGATAAATGAGATATTTCTCTTGAACAGCACATGCCTTTTTTCATGAGAACCTAAATATGCTTACATTAATTTAACAGAAACGAGGGCTGGCACACAATTAACAGGGCTTCAGCATTTGGCCAGGAAAAGCTTAGAGCTTTTCACACAGGGGCTTTGGGCAGAGATCTGCTTCTGCCTTCCCAAGTTTGTGTGCCTCTTGCTCAAACCACACTCCTCTGTGCCTAATCCTCAGGAGACGGAAGTTGCTACAAGCACTCCAGCACTCCACATTGACATGGAGCTGTTGCTTATGCAGCTTTTGTTACACCAGATCTGGATCAAATCATCTATCCAGATTCCTGTGCAGATGTTTGCCACGGGGATGCAGTTTGGGGCTCCCTAGGCACTGCTGACAGCACCCCATAAAGCAAACAAACCCCAAACATGTTCTCATAATCTTGAGGTTTCAATAATGATTTTTTATACATATACACATTGGGCAATTGGGCAATAAGAGTGTGTGTGACCGTATCTGCACTGACGGTTTCCTGCCAGACAGCAGCGCTGGTGACAGACTACATTTCCCAGGAGGCTGTTGTAGAAGACTCTCCTGTGTCACTGCACCAGGACCCTGCAGCTCTGCAGGAGGCACTTGTGCTGCTGCAGTTCTTGCTGCTGGCGCTGGAGGACCATGACCGTCGATAATTAGTCAGGTAAACGACCCAGAACAGAGCTGGGCTAGGGTCTGCTTTTGCTGCAGACCCTAGCAGGGCGGCTGGTTCGCCCTGTTTCATGCTGGACGCTAGATGTCACCTGCAGAAGAAGAGAAGAGCTTACCTCTTCCAGAGAGATGGCCCCGAGCCAGCAAATTCGCTCTGTCAGCCTGTGCAGCCGCTGTGGCAGAACTAGGTACAACTCACTCTGATTTTCTGAGAGGGAAGGGGGTCCACATTTACTTAGGGGAGGCAGGGGGAACTTCAGTCCCCAAATACCTCGTTCCTTGGCATTCATTCCAGCGAATCTGTTTGTTCCGCTGTGCTTGTCACCACTGTTCAATGATTTAAGGCTTGTAAATATTTTGTGCCACCTGACTGTGGCTGGAGGGAAGAGTTTTTCAGGTCTAAATCTCTGCCTCCGAGGCTGAGGGGCTGCAGTAATTAACACAGAGATGCTGTCACTGGCTTACGCTTTGCACTTGCTGGGTTTCTGGAAGATGACTATAGAGACAGGAAGCTCTAGCAGGGATTTGTTTTTCATAGTTAATGCAGCTTAATAAAAAGAAAAAAAAAAGAAAAAGAAATCTTAGAGTTTTGGTTACACCGGGGATGTCTGTAAAAATGGACTATAGTGCATTTCCTTCCTGAAATGAAGGAAGGAGGCACCCTGGCATCTGCATAGCCAGGGTGAATAGTAATCAGTAACTTGGAATATTTCTCAGCATATTCTACATATTTTCTACAAGAGCATATTCTATAATTTCCCCAAGCTCTTGCAGGCAAATCTGTTGCACTGCTCTAATGATTTGTAACTTCTCAATCTTTGCTAATCTTTAAATATGGATACCAAACTTAATGCACAAATATACCAGAAATCTGCTGAGGCTTTGAGTGTTTCTGCATTCCCTCAGCACCTCCAAGTCCTGCTCTGGAAGGATGCTGTAGCATAGTGTGTCACAGAGGTATACAGCCAAAGGCAAGCCCTGCTCCTGGTCCCTCGCTGCCGGAGACAGGCTGGGAAGGTCCACCACCCACTGAGACACTCCCTGCCTGGAACTGAAACTAGGGGCAGCAAATACATACTCACACTGTTTGAGGAGCAGCCCTAGGAAGCTGAGATCAAATTGGAGCACCTTCCCTGGCCAGAAGATATTTCAGTGAAAGAAATAATAAGCTAAATGTGATTTTGTGTCTAGATCAGAAAAGCAGCACGGTTAAGGGTGGTTCGTAGAACAGATGCTCACCTGTGTGCCTGTACTGCGATGGTCACTGTAGGGTTGCTCCTGACTGTAACATATGCTGCCACTATGCTGGGTAGAACTGGAGAGGCCACACGCTCCATGATATTTGATTGATCTTTATTCTTGAGGAGTAACTGGAACAAGATTTTAAATCCAGAGTCTCTTGGAAAGTACGCACATTGCATAACAAGCCAGCAAAAAGAAATCGGGGATCAAGAGATGGTGTCTGATGAGAATTTTAGTTACTCCTGCCCAGAGCCACTTTCAGCAGATCTGGACATGAATAGTCTGTTCTCCACCCACACTGGGTACAGTCTCTGCTGCCTACTGCTGCTTGCACAGCTCTCTTGGCCAACTGGCAGGGGGATGTGGTGCAGATGTTACCAGCATGGTAAGTCTCCCTGCAGCTGCACTCGTATTCATGTTTGTTCCCTGCTTTTTCTCCTCAGTGACATTTCCCCTTGACCTGACAAAAACTCGACTGCAGGTCCACGGTGAAGCTGCTGTTCGTGGCAGTGGAGCTGGTACTGGGCAGGCGGTCCCTTACCGCGGCATGCTGCACACTGCAGCTGGCATCGTTCAAGCTCTGGCAAGGAGCCACGCCAGCCGTCTACTGACACATAGGTGATTGTCTGCTCATGACGGGATTAGTTTGGGTCCTGCCTTCTGTGGCTAACAGCCTTTTGGAGTGTCAGCTTGTGTCTTGGTATTGGCTGGGATAGAATTTTCTTCCTAGTAGCTGGTGCAGTGCTGTGTTTTGGCTTTAGTCTGAGAATAACACTGGTAACACAGATGTTTTATTTGTTGCTAAGTAATGCTTTTGCTGCTTATCAGCTTACCCTGATCAAGGACTTTTCAGCCTTTCATGCTGTGCCAGTGAGGAGGGGCACAAGAAGCCAGAGAGAGCAGAGACAGGACACCTGACCCAAACTAGCCAAAGGGGTATTCCATACCAAGCCACATCCAGCCTGGCCTTGAATGCTTCCAGGGATAGGGCAAATATGGTAACAGCAACAAAGCTCAAAAGCACATGTGTGAGGTTTTGTGCTTGGCATCAGCTGAGAGGGAAGCAATGCGGTCACATCTCCTTAGCGTGGAGGCATAAACTGTGGTGCCTCCTGGCAGATGTATGGCTCATCCAGATACATCTTCTGATGCTAAAAGTCATGGCTCTGACATTGCTACCAGGTAGCTTCCTCCCTTTCCACCCTGTGATCACGAACGTGAGAGCAGTGACCAGCTGACCCAGGCAAGCTCCGGAGTGTTTTACAACCAGTTTCTTGCTCTCTCTATCACAGGGTGACCTACAGAAATGGCAGCCCCAAGAACTGTTTCCTGCTTTTATTTCCAGCAGTGTACTCTGGTGTTCGGATGGTTGCATACGAGCATCTCCATGACTCTGTGCTTGGCAGGGCTGAAGATGGGAGCTTTCCCTTCTGGTAATATTGCATATTTATACTATTGCCTGTTTGGGGACTATCCTTACTGTAGAAGTCCTGCAGCCCTAAAAGCTGTCTGCCTGGGAATAACCATTTACACTTGTTTCATCTGGGCTGTGCTGCTGAACTCTTTAGCTCATGCACTGCCATTTTCAGTGTATCCTGCAGCATGTTTTTTTCCCATTTGGCAGGAAAGCTGTAGTTGGAGGCATGTGTGCGGGTGCCATCGGACAGCTTTTTGCCAGTCCAACTGATCTGGTGAAGGTGCAGATGCAGATGGAGGGAAGAAGGAAGTTGGAAGAAAAGCCGTTACGGTCAGTTCCTCTCGAAGCTGGTGTTTTCTTCCTGTTAATGATTACTCTTTGGCCCATGCTGTGGTTCTCCCTGTTTTCCGACACCTCTTTTCCACAGCTGCTCTGTGTCCTCCCAGAGGCAGGGCACTAAGATGCCTGGGAAGCATGCAATGGCTCTGGCCAGTGGGGAGGGTGGGGGATTCAAAGATGCAAAGACTTCTCCATTACTGGGCTCTCTACCTACTAGTTGCATATTGATTGCAGGTTTCAAGGAGTGCACCATGCGTTTATGAAGATCCTGTCTGAAGGAGGAGTACGGGGGCTTTGGGCTGGATGGGTGCCAAATGTCCAGAGAGCTGCTCTGGTGAACATGGGAGGTAAATGTAGTAACTTGGTCTGCCACACTTAAGACTGCAGCTAAGCTTTAAGAAAGACGAGCTCAGCTGCTCCCCTGCTCTTAGTCGCTTGCTTATCTACATTGGGGACCTGTTTGGAGTGCACTGCAGGTGATTTCTGCCTTGTGCACTTCTGTTTCAGTCCTGCAAAAATCAAGTCACTTAAAAAAAAACAGTCTGTGCCTGAGCCTAAGGGATGGTGAGGTGGGAGCTGCAGGGTCCAACAGCCAGAAGAGAAGGGACCTTGCCAGCTACAACACAGCCCCTGCTGCCCAATCAAGGTGAGCAGGGCAGAGCCTGCACTGGCAGCCAGGTCTCCCAAAGATCCAGATCCTCAGGAAAGAGTGTGGTGATGAGACAGATCTGAGGCCAAGCTAGGAAGCTGTGCCAGCATCAGGCCTGGGTAGGGTGGCCAGGGTCTGACACAGCTCAGTGATCACAATGTCTGTGGTGATGACACAGGTCCAAGCCTGAGCTAGGGAGATGGTCCATGGGTCAGTGTCCAGATGAACAAAGTGTGGGGTGAGTAGCTTGAGGGAGGACGCCTGCAACACCGGAGCGGAGTGGGGCGAGATCAGCGTCCAGGAGCCTCACCTCAGAGCAACAAGAGCCACCGAGGAGGGAGCCTCAAGTCCTCGACAGGACTTGCCCAGGAGCCGGCAGCTCAGCTCACGCAAGGAGCTGACACACCAGGAGTGGAGCCAGGAGGAGCAGCACCAGCTGTGACTGGTTAAAGACCTGCCCAGGGAGCGCAAGCGACCAGGAGCGCGGCAAACAGAGCGGGTCGAGGCAGTTTGCTTGGCAGTTCACACAGGCAGGCGAGTAGGGTGACCGCCTGATCAAGAGGACTCGCCTGGAGCGCAGGAGGAGGAAGGACTGCTTGCTTGTGCAGAGAGATGTAGACGGACTGATCGACCAGATAGATCATGGTCACCACTCGATCAAAACCTGTAGTGAGGAATAATGTGGGTAGCCAGACTGAGCCTTCCTGCAGACATGTGGCCGTGCAGGTCTCTGGCTGCAGTGAATGCCTGAGCCTGGCACTTGTACTGGAGAGAGCCAGTGACACCGCTTGTGTGAGCGAATAAATGATCTGCTCAGGCAGGCGGCTGAACTGAGGGAGGAGGTAGAAAGGTTGAGAGCTATCAGAGAATGTGAAAGTGAAATTGATTGGTGGAGCCACACCCTAAGACAAGGGCAGAGGGAAGTGGTTGAACAAGTGATGGATCCCCTTCCCTCCTACCATCAGATAGAAGGAGTGAACTTAAGGGACAAGGAGGTATGGAAGGAGGTCCCTCCTCAGAGAGGTAAGCGAAAACCCTCGCAATCCCTTTCTCCCTCCCACTTGCCCTTGAATAACAGGTACAAGGTCTTGGAACTACAGGGCCAGGTAAACGGAGATGGAGGGGTAGATCCATCTAGTGAGTCACCTAGGGCTTGCCACTCACCCCCATGCCTTAGAACTTCCTCAACGAAGAAGAAAAGAAGAGTAATTGTGGTGGGTGACTCCCTTCTGAGGGGAACAGATCCATCCCACAGGGAAGTCTGCTGCCTACCTGGGTCTCAGATTAGAGATGTTAAAAGGAAACTCTCTGATCTGGTGCAGCCCTCTGACTGCTATCCGCTGCTGGTTTTTCAGGTTGGCAGTGATGAAATTATTACAAGGAGGGCAAGGGCAATGAATAGCAGCCTTGGCTGCAGTGACCATGAGATGGTGGAGTTTAGGATCCTGTGTGGCAGGAACAGAATATCTAGCAAGGCCATGATTCTGAATTTCCGAAGGGCCAACTTTGGCCTCTTCAATCAATTGCTAAGGGAAGTCTCATGGGAAAGGGTACTAGGTGGTAAAGGGGCTCAAGATAGTTGGTCAGCATTCAAGGACCACTTCTTCCAAGCTCAGGATCAGAGTATCCCAATGGGTAGGAAGTCAAGTAGGGGAGCCGGAGACCAGCATGGTTAAACAAGGAACTGCTCGGCAAACTCATACGGAAAAAGAGAATCTATGGATTATGGAAGGATGGGCTGGCCACTTGGGAGGAATATAGGACAGTTGTTAGAGAATGTAGGGAGGCAATTAGGACAGCTAAGGCCTCCTTGGAACTTAATCTTGCAAGTCAGGTTAAGGACAATAGAAAGGGCTTTTTCAAATACATAGCAGATAAAACTAACACAAGAGGCAATATAGGCCCACTGCTGAATGAGGTGGGTGCCCTGGAGACAGAAGATATAAAGAAGGCAGAGGTGCTGAATGCCTTTTTTGCCTCTGTCTTTACTCCTGCAGACTCTCCCCAGGGGACCCAGATTCCTATAGCCCCAGAAGGAGTCAGGATAAAGGAGGAGTTTGCTTTGGTAGATGAGGATTGGGTTAGGGATCAGTTAAGTAATCTGGACATCTATAAATCGATGGGTCCGGATGGAATACACCCGCGGGTGCTGAGGGAGCTGGCGGAGGTCATTGCCGGGCCACTCTCCATCGTCTTTGGTAAGTTGTGGGAAACAGGAGAGGTGCCTGAGGATTGGAGGATGGCAAACGTCACGCCAGTCTATAAGAAGGGCAAGAAGGAGGACCCGGGTAATTATAGACAGGTCAGCCTTGCCTCCATCCCTGGAAAGGTGATGGAACAACTTATTCTTGACACCATCTCTAGGCATATCAAGGATGAGGGCGTCATTAAGAGCAGCCAACATGGTTTTACCAAGGGGGAGTCATATTTGACCAACCTTATAGCCTTCTATGAGGAAGTAACTAGGTGGATGGATGATGGTAGAGCGGTAGATGTGTTTTTTCTTGATTTCAGTAAGGCATTTGATACTGTCTCCCACAGCATCCTCATAGATAAGCTAAGGAAGTGTGGGCTTGATGATCAGGTAGTGAGGTGGGTCAAGAACTGGTTGAAAGGAAGAAGGCAGAGAGTTGTGGTCAATGGGGCAGAATCTAGCTGGAGGTCTGTGACTAGTGGAGTCCCTCAGGGGTTGGTGCTGGGACCAGTGCTGTTTAATATTTTCATCAACGACCTGGATGAGGGAACTGAGTGTACCCTCAGCAAGTTTGCTGATGATACTAAACTGGGAGGAGTGGCTGACACACCAGAGGGCTGTGTTGCCATTCAGCGAGACCTGGACAGGCTGGAGAGTTGGGCAGGGAGAAACTTGATGAAATTCAACAGTCTTGCATCTGGGGAAGAACAACCCCATGTACCAGTACAGGTTGGGGGCTTACCTGCTGGACAGTAGTGAAGGGGAAAGAGACCTGGGGGTCCTGGCGGATAGGAGGATGACCATGAGCCAGCAATGTGCCCTTGTGGCCAAGAAGGCCAATGGCATCCTAGGGTGCATTAGAAAGGGTGTGGTTAATAGGTCAAGAGAGGTTCTCCTTCCCCTCTACTCTGCCTTGGTGAGGCCTCATCTGGAATATTGTGTCCAGTTCTGGGCCCCTCAGTTCAAGAAGAACAGGGAATTGCTTGAAAGAGTCCAGCGCAGAGCTACAAAGATGATTAAGGGAGTGGAACATCTCCCTTATGAGGAGAGGCTGAGGGAGCTGGGTCTCTTTAGCTTGGAGGAGACTGAGGGATGACCTCATCAATGTTTACAAATATGTAAAGGGTGAGTGTCAGGCTGATGGAGCTAGTTTTTTTTTCAGTGATGTCCAGTGATAGGACAAGGGGCAATGGGTGTAAACTGGAGTATAGGAGGTTCCATGTGAACATCAGGAAAAATTTCTTTACTGTGAGAGTGACAGAGCACTGGAACAGGTTCCCCAGGGGGGTTGTGGAGTCTCCTACATTGGAGATATTCAAGGCCCGCCTGGACAAGTTCCTGTGTGATGTACTCTAGGTTACCCTGTTCTTGCAGGGGGGTTGGACTAGATGATCTTTTGAGGTCCCTTGCAACCCCTGGGAGTCTGTGATTCTGTGATGGAGCTGCAGAGTGGCTGCCCGAGTGCTTGGCTGATCCAAGAAACACTCGCTTTTTCCACATATAGATAGATCTTTCCTATGTCTCTCCAAAACTGCTAGGATATGTTGGATGGTCTTTGTTCTCCTTCCTTTGTAAAGTAAGGAGGGAGATGTCTTTGAGAAAGACACTGCGTGCAGGTTCCCACCATAAAATACTTGGTGCTTGGCACATACTATAGAATTGCCTTGGCAATTTTTTCTTTTGGATGTTTCATTTCCTTTGACATGATAGCTACCAATTTCTAGGTCATTCAACATAGGGTTATGTTAGCAGCATGTCCAAAAAATGTCTTTGAAGGTAGAAAATGAGAGATACTGTAAGCTTACTTTCTAAGCACCAGTAAAGAATCACTGGATGGATAATGTTTGCAGCAGGAGCTGCTAAATGAGGCTGCAGGATGACTGTTAACTAAGGTATGTCTCTCCATACACAACATTAATATGCAGTCTTATTTTGCAGAATTTTCCATTTGGCATCATTTTATCATCTGTAGGGTAAATCTGGTAAGAAGGTAACAGAAAGGAGCATGCATTCACATAGCTAAAGAGAGGACTTAGATGCCACAAAAGTCATCAGAAACTGAGGACAGAGTACTAGCCATGCCAACAGGGAGGAGCAGCAGTGGAAATACAGGTCTTGACAAGCCTCATCCTATGTGGTGTACACCACAGATACCATTTACTTCTGACCGTGCTGTTTTTTCTCATTATCCTCTTTACAGATTTGACCACTTATGACTCAGTGAAACACTTCTTGCTTCTGAATACGCCACTTGTGGACAATGGTGTGACTCACAGTGTTGCCAGGTGCCTGTTCCTCAATTACTGCTTTTCTCCACTGTGGAGCATTTCCAGCCTTGCTGTCTTGATCCTCCTCTCTGTGCCAAGAAGCCCCTATTTTTTGGTTGTGATATTGCTGATGAAATGCACCTTTATAATTTTGATGGGTTATTTTTTGCCTGAGGGGGTATCACTTTACAAAAGATACAAGAGAAAGGATGCAACGATTGCTACAAAACTGCCCTCAGTAGAAGTACCTTGCTGATGCACTTAAACATCTTTGCTGTCATCTGTGAGTGCATAGGAATTTTCACTTTTCTAGAATTAGTACTGTTTTATCTACTCTAGTTTCAACTTTAGTGAACAATAAGTGATAGAATCCCTGCAGAACAACCTCTTTTACTGCCGTAAATTATGAAGAAATCTGCTTTACGTAAACAATATCATAAAGTGCCTGTTGTGGGTCCTTCATCCCTGCCTCAGAACTACATACAGAGGTGAGGGCATCTTTGCAAGAGCAATACTAGTGAGCCTTCTCCCAGATCAAGTTTATGTTACGAGGTATTACTCATGATTTGATAGTAATGGTTTTAATGTATCTTTATTATTAGAACTGGAATCATGATGCTTAATCATTGTGATAAATCTTAGTTTCTTCTTAAAGCATATGTTGCTGTTGACAGCTGCTGTTCTGGCCTGGTAGCTGCTGTCCTGGGAACTCCTGCTGATGTGGTGAAAACCCAGGTAATGAACCAGCCAAGAGACAAGCAGGGAAGGTACAGACACTCTGGCGATGACTTTTCAGTAGAAAACTGAAACCCGAGTTTCACCCATTTTGCTGGGAGTGATAAGTTTCTAATTTGCTCTTCAGCTTTTTGATGATCATTTTACTGATTTACTAAATGTTTGGGAGGGGAAGCATTATTGTGATGGCCACCTGAGCACACCCAGTTACTCCAGTGGATTTCAGTTCTGATTAGACTCCACTGAGCCTACAAAAGCGCCTTTGCTTGTAAAAAATTAGCAGATACAAATCATTTTTCAGGAGAGATGAGTATTTTTAAAATTGTGTATTTGTATTCCTAACAATATTTGTTCTCCTTGCACATTTCTAGAGGTCTTCTGTGTAAGTCTTCCATGGACTGCTTAATTCAAACTGTACAGGGTGAAGGGTTTATGTCTCTATACAAAGGCTTTATACCAACCTGGATGCGAATGGTAAGTGCTTTTTAACTCTCTTCACTAGACAATTTAATTATTTGGCATTAAAATGTGAGTTCTTTCTGTGCAGCACTTTTTAAAAACTATGTGGATCTAGATTTATTTACTTGCAGTTAGCATCATTGAATGTGGTTCCTGATGATGCAACTGCACGCAGTGTCACTTCTCCCATGTTGGAACATACTGTCCTCCTTAACTACTAGGGATTTTCCTTGCTTTTTTTTTTCTAATTTCAGGCTCTCTGCTTTCTCCCTTCCCCAGACTCTGTTGTTCCCTTCTTACTTCCAGCACTGGACTCCCTTTGAATCCCTTGTACTTTCATTCCTCATTCTCTCCTGATCCCAAAACTGCTTTATTACTTTTCCACCCTGGGGTCTCGCTTTTACCCGATTTCAGGCTGGAAGCTTTCTGCTGCATGCTGCTGGGCTGTTAAAGCTACATCTGTACAATTAAGCCAAGCAGCAGTTGAAGCCTGGGAACTGGAACTTGGCTTTTGGCAAGGGACAATTCCCAATAGCAAGTTTAGATGAGTCTATAAGAATTAAACAGCATGACTGTGTCTAGACTCTGCCAGCTGGCTGTAACCTTTAAAAACGTTAAAAAGCATTCAGCCTGAAGTAGTCCCCAAGTATGAAACATTTCAGGTCATTTATGGGTTGACAAGCCGAAATCAAAAGAGTTTTAGGTGTCTTGTGAAGGACTGGGAAGCCCTAACCACATGCAACACTACGATGTTTCATAATATGAGATGAAGCTTAAGAATATGATTTTAAAGAGGAGACAGTTTAATCTAATGGGTTTATTTATTAGGTCACATCAGTTTTAATTTAAAACACTCTAAATTCAGTGTTTGCTTTCACAGGCTCCTTGGTCACTGGTATTCTGGCTTACATACGAACAAATCAGAAGGATCTGTGGAGTTAGCTCTTTTTAAAATTGTGAAACCACTTCAATATCCACAAAAAAAAAGAAGAATCAGAAAACTGAATCATTCCACAAGGCACCCCGACCCTACAGGAAACTAATTTATTTAGGACACTGGCAGTAGGATCACATCTATAGCTTGCTGCCCCAAATCCAGTCCTTATGGGTGAGGAGTAGCATGACTTAAGGACATCATTTGCTTGTCATACTGCTCTATGAAATTTAAGTTATCCACAGGATAAAATTGTCACAGTATTACTTCAATTTGCAGCCAGTATCAGCTTCCTGAAACAGTAAACAGAGGTAAAAAGAACTCTTCCAAGCAAGTAGAATATAATACTCTTTGATTGTGTGATAACAGATGGTTTCTATTGTTAAAGGACAAGAGCAGGTTGAACAATGCAGCACTGAACATCTTCTGTGACTCAGCAGTATATAAAATTATTGGGGAATTTTTATCACTACATTTGCACACACATAAAGAGCCATGTCTCATTTGATGCCTCAGCAAACCAAGTCCATAGTGCTAGATGCTGAAAGAAAGATTAAAGTAGTTTAACTGAGTTCAAATTTGCTTTGCACAAAAGGTGGAAGGCTTTGTGTTCCTCCTCTTACTTCCCAGAGACCGCTTGACTTCTTCACTCAGCCATCTGAGTAATAGCCAAAAGTGGAATACAGTCCTGTGCCCAGGAAATAAAAAGCCTGTTTGAAGCCTCTTGGAGGGCTCTAATACACATTGTCCACAGGACCAAGCTAAACTACTTGTCCTCTGAGAGTCCCAGTACTGATGTAGCAGACCAGGTCATTAAGGTGCCACTTTTCCAGGGAAATATGTACTCTGCCCATTTTAAATCTTGGTGGAAATACAAAGTTCTCTTCAAAACCACTAAATATTTTAATGTGATTTTTATTTTCAAACCGAAACCTTCCAGATTTCATAGGGAAGGGGACTGCTGCTTTGTCTCTAGGCTTATCTTTAGTAATCATGAGGAAAAAAATGCAGTATAAAAGCAATCATAAAATAGGCAGAACAAAGCTGGCTTTCATTTAGCAATTTCTAATAGTGAAATGTCTATACAAGGCTTAGTTCTCATGAGCCTTTTGTTATATTTTCTCTGCCCTGTCTAGTTGAGGAGGAAAGTGACGGAGTGGCTTCGGTGCGCACCTGGCCTCCAGCCAGGGTCAATGCACCAGTTCTAGATAACTCTTTGCAACTAGTACCTTCAATGCGACAATATCCGATTAAATGCAGTTTAGACGTCTTCTTGGCTTGTATTTGTACTTTCTAATTGCACTGTAGGTTTGTTTTGGTGGCACGCATTTGTATGATTCCAGCTTGGAAAAAATTAGCCTCACCAATATTAGGAATCCAGAAGTCATTCAGAAATACTGTTATTTTTCTAGTTGTCAGACTGAGAAACTTCTGAGTTCCCTCCTTCCTGCATCACCAGCAATTAGAAACCAGCAGCCAAAGCTGCTTCTTCAGTTGCATCCTAAGTGGTCCAGGCTGCAGTCCTGTTACTGAGATAACCCTGGTGATGGATATGCAGAAGTACCTCATCTACTGAGTTAAAAAAAAAAAAAAAAAGCAATTTTAAGTCTTGTAGAGAAAAAGTGAGAAAGAGAAAACTCATCACAAAACTTTTTTCTTTTGATCACGGCACACTGAAGAGATTCATAACCATGCTGATTTTACTTGTATTATAAAATAAATCATTTGCACAGCAAAACTTGCCACTCTGCATTACTTCTTAGGTGTTCTGTAACTTCTTCTTTCAAGAAGTTTCCACCACCTAAAGTGCCTGGCCATACTTAACAGTGTCAGTTTCAAAGCCAAATATTAGCCAAAGGATGCCACTGAGGTTCCTGGGCTGACCCCTCCTGCGCCTTATGAAGGGCTCAGTGAAGCCCTAGGCCTTCCTCTTCCTCACCCACCCATTTCTGCTCATTGTCCCTAAAGGCTGGAAGGCATCAAAACCTCAAAGGTCCGCTGGAAACCAGGGAGGAATCTCATGCTTGCAGAGCTGAAGAGCCATGTGTCAGTCCAGGCTCTCCGGATGGGGCCACCAAACAGGACGCACGTTTGCCACTTCCCCCGAGAGGCCGTGAGCCGTGGTGCTGGCCGGCGGCTGCCCCATCCATAGCCAGCACAGCCGCGGTTGCTGCTGTCCTTCGCCCGCGGGGTGCGCGGATCGGACGGTGACCGGGGGACGGCGACCTCTACGTGGGGGGAGCGTGGGGCAGGCTCGCGGCTGGGCGCTCGCTGCGGGCAGAGGGGTGGCCCACGCGGCCCTGCCACGGGCACACCCGCAGCCCCGAGCCGCCAACCCACGTCCAGCAGCGCCCAATCCCACCGCCCGATGGCGGGCACCCCCGCTCACACCGCCCTCACACCGCCGCTCCGCGGTAACCAATAGCCGCCGAACCCTGCACGCACTGCCCGCCCCCGACACCCGCCCTGACCAATAGAGGCTAAGCGGGCCTCGAGGCGTCTCCCTCTCACTCCGCCCCGCGGCCGTGCCGCTACCACACAGGCGGCGAGGCGTGCTTCAGTTCGGGGAGAAGCAGATCCAGCGGGCTGTGGGCTTAGCCCTGCGGATCCAGCGTGCCGCGGTTATCTCCTCTTTGTGGCGCCTCGTTAAAGCAGGCGCGGCCCTATGTATTAGCCCGCTCCGTCCTCCCTGTTCCCTCCCCGGCCCGCCCCCCTCCGCGGGGATCAAAGTGGACTCGACCACGTAAGTTAGCGCTCAACGGCTCCTCGCGGGTCACGTGGGCGGCGCGTGCTGCATGAAGGCGGTTGCTGGCGGCCGTTCGGCGACGCGCGGGCCCCGGCGGCAGGATGAGTTCCGGGCGGAGCGGGCGGCCGGGGGTGCTCAGTCCCGGCAGCACCGTGACCCTGCGGGTCTGCACCGTGGGCCTGCGCCCCGAGGTGCCCGTCGTGCGGATCTGGGGGCTGCTTGGGGAGCGCCGCGCCGACTACATCCGCCTCCGCCGTCAGATCCAGGCGGCGGCGGCGGGGCCGCGCCTGGCGGCTGCTCCGCGACCAACCAACCCAGTGGCTGGCGGGGTTGAGCTGTCCACGGGAGACCTGGGCCTAGTGGAGGTGGTCGGGCTGTGGTACCGCTGCTGCGTGGTGAGTCGCTCCGGACAGGACTACCGCGTGTTCTTGCTTGATGAGGGTTGCATGGTGGTTACGTCCGCCTGTTACCTGGCGCCGGGCCGCGAGGAGCTGTTCCGCCTGCCCCCGGAGGTGTTGGGATGTATTGTGGCTGATGTTGTGCCCTTAGGAAGCCCCGGGGTGGCAGCCTGTGGGGATGCTCCCTTCTCCAACTGGACGGTGGAGGCTATGGAGTTCCTGAGCTTCCTGCATGGCAAGGAGATGTCTGGACGGGTGAAGGAGGTGATGACTCCGCAGCTTATAGTGCTTGAGCTGCCCCAACTCGTATCCCAGATGCATCACCTGGGTCTAGCCAGGCGGGTCACTCCTAGCTGGTTCTGCCAGATGCTCAGGCAGTGCCTGGCTTATGGCCACCCAAGGAGCCATCTCAAGGTACAGCCTTCAGCATCTTCCTTTGTATCTTCTGCAGTGCCACAGCTTCCCCGTGTTTTGCTCTCGTATCAGCCTGTGTCACCTCCTTTGGATTATGTTTACCCACAGCTTCACTTGGATGTGACAGAGCCTGTCCTAGTGACCCATGTCTCTGACCCACACCACTTCTACTGCCAGTTGAAGAGCTTGTCCCAGGAGATCCGTTGCCTTTCTGATACCATGCACCACACTTACAAATCCTGCTCCTGCTTGCCATTACCCAAAGTGGGCTCACCCTGTGCTGCCCGTGGCAGAGATGGCCAGTGGTACCGTGCACTCCTGCTGGAGCTTATTGCTGGGGAGAGAAACCAGCAACTGGCTCTAGTGGTCTTTGTGGACTATGGCAGGAAGGAGACTGTGACCAGAGCTAACCTGTGCCTTTTGCCCCCTGAGTGTTTCCACATACCTGTGGTAACTTATGCATGCGCTCTTCAGGGTGTCTCGGATGGGGGTTGTACCTGGTCCCCACTGCAGATCAATAAGCTGAAAGCGTTAGTGCTAGGCAGAGGAGTGAATGCTCACATCAAAGCCTTTAACTCCTTTGAGCATCTCTATTATGTGAATTTGTATGGGGAAAATGGCATCAACTTGAACTATGTTTTCCGGCTGCAGGCTTGCTGCCTGGTCAGCAGCCATACACAGGTGAGCCAAACTGAGGGCTGGGAGCAGCTGGAAGTAGAAGAATCCACAGCTGAACTGGAATTGCCTCCAGGAGCACCTCCCATTGCTTTAGTGCATGGAGATTTGGCTTCTGCTCCTGTAGTTGATGTACATGTGAACTTGGGCGCATTCTACAATGCACAGGTCTCCCACCTCCGAGACCCATCTGAGTTCTGGCTGCAGCTACATGAACATCGGCGGCTCTTTGGGCAGTTGAGGCGGTGTATGTGTGATTTCTATTCACATGCCATGAAGCTGGATGGTGCTAGGTGGGATCTACAGCCTGGATCCCTTTGTTGTGCCAGTGGGAAAGAGGGTGTCTTTTATCGAGCAGTGATCACCAGGGTACTGGACAGTGAGGTAGAAATATACCTGGTGGACAGAGGCAATACAGAAATTGTACATCGGTGTGCAGTGAAGGAGCTGCTCCCTCAGTTCAGGGAACTGCCTGCTTTAGCTCTGAAGTGCTGTTTGGCAGATGTCTGTCCTCTGAGAGGGAGTTGGAGTGAAGCATCTGTATCTGCATTTAGAGAGATTGTACTGAACAAGGGACTAAAGGTTCATTTTTTGAGTGTGCAGGGTGACAAATATATAGTTGAAATTTTTGACCAGTCCCAATTAGGAGAGAAAAGTGTAAGTAAACTCATGGCTCAGGGAGGGTATGCTGAATACCAGAGGTCTGAAATACCCAAGAGTGTCCAGAAATCACCTAATATGGCTATGAGCCTGGCCTCAGATGTTTGGGAAGAAAACCAAATAAAAGCAGAGAAGAGGCTGGGAGAGGAATCTGATCTAAAGAGAAGTGATAGGGCACTTAATTCTTATGCAGCTGTAGTGGTCAGAGGGAGCCCTGTTGCACCCATTCACAATTCTGCAGGTAGTAAATCTCTTACTGCTCAGAAGTGTGAGGGCAAGGATAACCTGCCCATCTCCTGTACACAGAATTATGACAAAATGAAGCTAAGGTCTTCTTGTGGAGGTCAGTTAGAAGTGGGAACTACAGTTAATGTTGTAGTGTCATATGTTGAAAATCCGGGTCATTTTTGGTGTCAGCTAAGTAGGAATTGCCAAGACCTTAAGTTATTAATGTCTGAAATTCAGGAGTATTGTGAAGATTCATCTCACCCACATGCTTGGCCAAATTCTCCATGTTTAGCCCAGTACTCGGAGGATGAAAAATGGTACAGGGCTTTAATTATTAGTGAAGTTCCTTCTGCAGAAAAAGTAGAAGTCATACATGTTGACTATGGCAACAGAGAGCTGGTCTCTCTAGCAAACCTCCGCTCAATTCACAAACGCTTCCTTAAGTTAGAAGCTCAGGCTTTCAGGTGCAGCCTTTACAACCTAATTCAACCAAATGGTCAGGATCCTTTTGCTTGGGATGAAGCAGCAATTCGGGCTTTTCAGGAGTTTGTTGATACTTCTTCATCTCATCTTGAACTGAAGTGTACGATATTTGCCTTGGCTTCAATAAGCAAGGAGTTGTTTAACATTGTAGATTTAATGACACCGTTTCGGAGTGCTTGCCAGTTTTTGACTGAGAGGGGTGTAGCCAGACCTTTATCTCCTCAAAAGCCTCTGTCATCCTTGGTTCATCTTCATTCTTACTATTATTCTATGCATGGTATCAAAATTGGGAGTGAGGAAGACGTTTATATTACGCATGTTGAGGATCCATGGACATTTTACTGCCAACTCGAAAGATGTTCAGATGTCTTAGCACAACTTACCGATAACATTGGTCGCCTGAGTGAAAAAATGAGCAGCTTAGAAACCTTGCAGAAGTCTGAGAGCTTGTGTCTAGCCAAGTATACTGACAGTCACTGGTACAGGGGAATAATTATGAAAAAGAAACCTGATATGCAAGTCTTCTTTGTGGATTTTGGGAACACAGAGACAATAGATAAAGATAACCTGCTTCCTTTACCCACTGATGTTTGTGATATCTTGCTTTTGCCAATGCAGGCCGTAAAGTGTTCCTTATCTGATATCTCTCGTGTTCCCGAAGAAGCT